GTGTCAGCATGGCCGAGCGGTCTAAGGCGCTGCGTTCAGGTCGCAGTCCACTTTTTGGGGGCGTGGGTTCGAATCCACTTCTGACAATAAAATTTTGTTCCACATACTTTTTCATAGGTTCAAAAACTATTATGAAATCTCTTTCACATGTCAGGATGGCCCGATCGGTCTAAGGCGCTGCGTTTAGATCACATTCCACTTCTGTGGGCATGGGTTCAAATCTCACTTCTGACAATAAAATTTTATTCAGTCATTTTTTTAGTTCTCATAACTAAAATGCAAGGGAAAGCTATCGCGTGTCAGGAGGACGAGCGCGCTTTAAGGCGCTGCAATCAGGTCGTAGTCCACTTCCGTGGGCGTTGGTTCGAATCCCATTTCTGACAATGTATTTTATTCAGTCATTTTTTGAGGTTAAGAACTAAATGCAAGGGAAAGCTATTTTGCGTGTCAGGATGGGCGAGCGGTTTAAGGTGCTGCAATTCAGGTCGCAGTCCATTTCTGTGGGCGTGGGTTTGAATCCCACTTCTAACAATGTAATTCTTTCAGTATTTTTTAGGTAAAAAACTACATGCAAGGGGGCAACTATTTTTGCGTGTCAGGATGGCCGATCAGTCAAAGGCGCTGCGTTTAGATCACATTCCACTTCTGTGGGCGTGGTTTCGAATCCCATTTCTGACAATAAAATTTTATTCATTTCATTTTTTTTTAGTTCTTATAACTTAATTGTAGGAAACGCTCTAGCACGTGTCAGGATGACCGAGCAGTCTAAGGCGCTGCAATCAGGTCGCAGTATACTTGCGTGTTCGGGGGTCCAACTCCCACGTCGAGCAATTATATTTAGTTATTTTTTTTAGTTCTCATAAAGTAAATTAAAGGTTACGTTTTTTAAATTTCAGGATGAAGAAGCGGTCAAAGGCGCTGCGTTCATGTCGAAATCCACTCGGTTTTTTGCGTGGATTCGCGAATCCCACTTCTGATAATGTAATTTTATTCAGTCATTATTTTTAGTTCTCATAAACTAAATGTAAGGCAAAGATCTTTCTAGCAAGTTAAGATTCGAGCGGTCTAAAGCGCTGCGTTTAAGTCGCAGTAAAATTCTGCGGGCGTGGTTTTTGGGATTCCACGTTTGACAATTATATTTCATTCATTCATTTTTTAAGAAAGGGAAACACTTCTCATTAATTAAATGAAAGGAAACCCTCTGACAATGTATTTATTCAGTGTGTAAATGCAAGGTCGTGTCAGGATGGCCGAGTGGTCTAAGGCGCTGCGGCGTGGGTTCGAATCCCACTTCTGACAGTAAAATTTTATTACATACTTTTCTTAGGTTCCAAAAAAATGTCGTGGAAAACTCTTTCACATGTCAGGGATGGCCGATCGGTCTAAGGCACTGCGTTTAGATCGCATTCCACTTCTGTGGTCGGTTCGAATTCCACTTCTGACAATAGAATTTTATTCAGTCATTTTGTTTTTTGTTCTCATAACTAAAATATAGCGAAATGCTCACGCACGTGTCAGGATGGCCGAGCGGTCTAAGGCGCTGCAATCAGGTTGCAGTACACTTGCGCGTTCGCGGATCAAACTCCCACGTCGAGCAATTATATTTAGATGAGTTATTTGTTTAGTTCTCATAAAGTAAATTAAAAGGTTACGTTTTCTCAAATTTCAGGATGGCCAAGCGGTCAAAAGCGCTGCGTTCATGTCGAGGTCCACTCGGTTTTAGCGTGGGTTCGGATCCCACTTCGGATAATGTAATTTTATTGAGTCATTATTTTTTTAGTTTTCATTAACTAAATGTAAGGGCAAAAGATCTTTCATAGGTTAAGATTCCTGAGTGGTATTCTAAAGCGCTGCGTTCAGGTCGCAGTAAAATTCAGCAGGCGTGGTGTCGGATTCCACATTTGACAATATATTTCATTCATCATTCTTTACGTTCTCATTAATTAAATGAAAGGAATAACTCTCCCGTGTCAGGATGGCCGAGCGGTCTAAGGCGCGTTCAGGTCGCAGTCCACTTGTGTGGGCATGGGTTCGAATCCCACTTCTGACAATGTATTTCTATTCAGTCATTTGAGGTTAAAGAAGAACTAAATGCAAGGGAAAGCTATTTTTGCGTGTCAGGAGGGACGAGCGCTTTAAGGCGCTGCAATCGTCGTAGTCCACTTGCGTGTTCGTGGGTTCGAACTTCCACTTCTGACAATGTATTTCTTTCAGACATTTTTGTAGAAACTACATGCAAGGAAAGCTATTCTGCGTGTCAGGATGGCCGAGCGGTGTAAGGCGCTGCGTTCAGGTCGCAGTCCACTTCTGTGGGCGTGGGTTCGAATCCCACTTCTGACAATAATATTTTATTCAGTCATTTTTTTGGTTCTCATAACTTAAATGTAAGGAAACGCTTTCTCGCACGTGTCAGGATAGCCGAGCGGTCTAAAGCGCTGCAATCAGGTCGCAGAAAAACTTGCGTGTTCGTGGGTCTTACTCCCACGTCAAGCGGAGTATATTCAGTTGAGTTATTTTTTTTTAGTTCTCATAAAGTAAATTAAAGGAAACGTTTTCTCAAATTTCAGAATGGCCAGAGGTCAAAGGTGCTGCGTTCATGTCGAAGTCCTTTCGGTTTTGGCGTGGTTTCGAATCCCACTTCTGATAATGTAATTTTATTTAGTCATTATTTTTTTAGTTCTCATAAACTAAATGTAAGGGAAAAATCTTCACAGGTTCACAGGTTAAGATTCTGAGCGGTCTAAGCGCTGCGTTTAAGTCGCAGTAAAATTCTGCAGGCGTGGTTTCGGATTCACGTTTTTACAATTATATTCCATTCATTCATTTTTTAAATTCTCATTAATTAAATGAAATAAACCCCTTTCCCACGTGTCAGGATGGCCGAGCGGTCTAGGCGCTGCGTTCAGGTCGCAGTCTACTTGTGTGGTCGTGGGTTCGAATCCCACTTCTGACTATGTATTTCTATTCAGTAATTTTTGAGGTTAAAGAACTAAATGCAAGGGAAAGCAATAGTGCGTGTCAGGATGGCCGAGCGGTCTAAAGGCGCTGCGTTCGGGTCGCAGTCCACTTCTGTGGGCGTGTTCGAATCCCACTTCTGACAATAGAATTTTATTCAGTCATTTTTTTAGTTCTCATAACTTAAATGTGAAATGCTCGCACGTGTCAGGATGGCCGTTGGGTCTAAGGCGCTGCAATCAGGTCGCGTTCGCGGGTCAAACTCCCACGTCGAGCAATTATATTTAGTTGAGTTATTTTTTTAGTTCTCATAAAGTATATTAAAGGAAACGTTTTCTCAAATTTCAGGATGGCCAAGCGGTCAAAGGCGCTGCGTTCATGTAGAAGTCCATTTGGTTTTGGCGTGGGTTCGAATCCCACTTCTGATAATGTAATTATATTGAGTCATTATTTTTAGTTTTCATAAACTAAATTTAAGGCAAAGATCTTTCATGGTTAAGATTCCTGAGTGGTCTAAAGCGCTGCGTTCAGGTCGCAGAAAATTCTGCAGGCGTGGTTTCGGATTCCACGTTTGACAATTATATTTCATTCATTCATTTTTAAGTTCTCATTAATTAAATGAAAGGAAACACTCTCCCACGTGTCAGTATGGCCGAGCGGTCTAAGGCGCTGCGTTCAGGTCGAAATCCACTTGTATGGACGTGGGTTCGAATCCCTCTTCTGACAATGTATTTCTATTCAGTCATTTTTTGAGGTTAAAGAACTAAATGCAAGGAAAAGCTATTTTGCGTGTCAGGATGGCCGAGCGGTTTAAGGCGCTGCAATCAGGTCGATGAACACTTGCGTGGGCGTGAATTTGAATCCCACTTCTGATAATGTATTTCTTTCAGTCATTTTTAGGTTAAAACACTACATGCAAGGGGAAAGCTATTTTGCGTGTCAGGATGGCAAAGCGGTCTAAGGCGCTGCGTTCAGGTCAGTCCACTTGTGTGGGCGTGGGTTTTTGTATCCTACTTCTGACAATGTATTTCTATTCAGTCATTTTTTGAGGTTATAGAAATAAATGCAAGGGAAAGCTATTTTTGCGTGTCAGGATGGCCGAGCGGTCTAAGGCGCTGCGTTCAGGTCGCAGTCCACTACTGACAATAAAATTTTATTCACATACTTTTCTTAGGTTCCAAAACTAAATGTAAGGGAAAACTCTTTCACATGTCAGGATGGCCGATCGGTCTTAGGCGCTGCGTTTTGATCACATTTCACTTCTTTGGGCGTGGGTTCGAATCCCACTTCTGATAATGTAATTTTATTCAGTCATTATTTTTTTAGTTTTCATAAACTAAATGTAAGGCAAAGATCTTTCATGGGTTAAGATTCCTGAGCGGTCTAAAGCGCTGCGTTCAGGTCGCAGAAAAATTCTGCAGGCGTGGTTTCGGATTCCACGTTTCACAATTTTATATTTCATTCATTCATTTTTTTTAAGTTCTCATTATTAAAATGAAAGGAAACCCTCTTCCACGTGTCAGGATGGCCGAGCGATCTAAGGCGCTGCGTTCAGGTCGTAGTCCACTTGTGTGGGTGTGGGTTCGAATCCCACTATGACAATGTATTTCTATTCAGTCATTTTTTGAGGTTAAAGAACTAAATGCAAGGGAAAGCTAATCTGTGTGTCAGGAGGGACGAGCGGTTTAGGGCGCTGCAATCAGGTCGTAGTCCGCTTGCTTGTTTGTGGGTTCGAATCCCACTTCGGACAATGTATTTCTTTCAGTCATTTTTTGAGTTTAAAAAAACTTTATGCAAGGGAAAGCTATACTGTGTGTCAGGATGGCCGAGCGGTCTAAGGCGCTGCGTTCAGGTCGCAGTCCACTTCTGTGGGCGTGGGTTCGAATCCCACTTCTGACAATAAAATTTTATTCACATACTTTTCATCGGTTCCAAAAACTAAATGTAAGGAAAAACTCTTTCACATGTCAGGATGGCCTAACGGTCTAAGGCGCTGAGTTTAGATCACATTCCACTTCTGTGGGCGTGGGTTCGAATCCCACTTCTGACAATAGATTTTTATTCAGTCATTCTTTTTTAGTTCTCATAACTTAAATGTAAGGAAATGCTCTCGCACGTGTCAGGATGGCCGAGCGGTCTAAAAGGCGCTGCAATCAGGTCGCAGTCCACTTGTGTGGGCGTGGGTTCGAATCCCACTTCTGACTATGTATTTCTATTCAGTAATTTTTTGAGGTTAAAGAACTAAATGCAAGGGAAAGCAATAGTGCGTGTCAGGATGGCCGAGCGGTCTAAGGCGCTGCGTTCAGGTCGCAGTCCACTTCTGTGGGCGTGGGTTCGAATCCCACTTCTGACAATAAAATTTTATTCACATACTTTTCTTAGGTTCCAAAAACTAAATGTAAGGGAAAACTCTTTCACATGTCAGGATGGCCGATCGGTCTAAGGCGCTGCGTTTAGATCACATTCCACTTCTGTGGGCGTGCGTTTGAATCCCACTTCTTACAATAAAATTTTATTCAGTCATTTTTTTTAGTTCTCATAACTTAAATGTAAGGAAACGCTCTCGCACGTGTCAGGATGGCCGAGTGGTCTAAGGGCTGCAATCAGGTCGCAGACCACTTGCGTGTTTGGGGGTCCACAAATCCTACGTCGAGCATTTATATTTAGTTGAATAATTTTTTTTAGTTCTCATAAAGTAAATTAAAGGAAACGTTTTCTCCAATTTCAGGATTGCCAAGCGGTCAAAAGCGCTGCGTTCATGTCGAAGTCCACTCGGTTTTGGCATGGGTTCGAATCCCACTTCTGATAATGTAATTTTATTATGTCATTATTTTTTTTTGGTTTTCATAAACTAAATGTAAGGCAAAGATTTTTCATAGGTTAAGATTCCTGAGCGGTCTAAAGTGCTGCGTTTAGGTCGCAGTAAAATTCTGCAGGCGTGGTTTCGGATTCCACGTTTGATAATTATATTTCATTCATTCATTTTTTAAGTTCTCATTAATTAAATGAAAGGTAACACTCTCCCACTTTTCAGGATGGCCGAGCGGTCTAAGGCGCTTTGTTTAGATCACATTCCACTTCTGTGGGCGTGGGTTCGAATCCCACTTCTGACAATAGAATTTATTCAGTCATTTTTTTTTAGTTCTCATAACTTAAATGTAAGGAAATGCTCTCGCGCGTGTCAGGATGGCCGATCGGTCTAAGGCGCTGCAATCAGGTCGCAGTACACTTGCGCGTTCGCGGGTCAAACTCCCACGTCGAGCAATTATATTTAGTTGCGTTATTTTTTTAGTTCTCATAAAGTAAATTAAAGTAAACTTTTTCTTAAATTTCAGGATGGCCAAGCGGTCAAAAGCGCTGCGTTCATGTCGAAGTCCACTCGGTTTTGGCATGGGTTCGAATCCCACTTCTGATAATGTAATTTTATTATGTCATTATTTTTTTTTGGTTTTCATAAACTAAATGTAAGGCAAAGATCTTTCATAGGTTAAGATTCCTGAGCGGTCTAAAGTGCTGCGTTTAGGTCTCAGTAAAATTCTGCAGGCGTGGTTTTAGATTCCACGTTTGACAATTTTATTTCATTCATTCATTTTGTTAAGTTCTCATTAATTAAATGAAAAGAAACCCTCTCCCACGAGTCAGGATGGCCGAGCGATCTAAGGCGCTGCGTTCAGGTCGCAGTCCAATTGTGTGGGCGTCGGTTCGAATCCCACTTCTGACTATGTATTTCTATTCAGTAATTTTTTGAGGTTAAAGAACTAAATGCAAGGGAAAGCTATGGTGCGTGTCAGGATGGCCGAGCGGTCTAAGGCGCTGCGTTCAGGTCGCAGTCCACTTCTGTGTTGTGGGTTCGAATCCCACTTCTGACAATAAAAATTTATTCAGTCATTTTTTGTTAGTTCTCATAACCTAAATGTAAGGAAATGCTATCGCACGTGTCAGGATGGCCGAGTGGTCTAAGGCGCTGCAATCAGGTCGCAGACCACTTGCGTGTTCGGTGTATAAACCCAAGGCCAAGCAATTTTATTTAGTTGAGTTATTTTTTTAGTTCTCATAAAGTAAATTAAAAGGAAACATTTTCACAAATTTCAGGATGGCCAAGTGGTCAAAGGCGCTGCGTTAATGTCTAATTCCACTCGGTTTTGGCGTGGGTTCGAATCCCACTTCGGAAAATGTAATTTTATTCAGTGATTATTTTTTTAGTTTTCATAAACTAAATGTAAGGGAAAGATCTTTCACAGATTAAGATTCCTGAGCGATCTAAAGCTCTGCGTTTAAGTCGCAGTAAAATTCTGCAGGCGTGGTTTTAGATTCCACGATTGACAATTATAATTCATTCATTCATTTTTTAAGTTTTCATTAATTAAATGAAATGAAACACTCTCCTACGTGTCAGATGGTCGAGCGGTCTAAGGCGCTGCGTTCAGGTCGCAGTCCACTTGTGTGGGCGTGGGTTCGAATCCCACTTTTGACAATGTATTTCTATTGTCATTTTTTGAGGTTAAAGAACTAAATGCAAGGGAAAGCTATTTTGCGTGTCAGGATGGCCGATTGGTCTCATTCGCTGCGTTCAGTTAGCAGTCCACTTCTGTGGGCATGGGTTCGAATCCCACTTCTGACAATAAAATTTTATTCACATACTTTTCTTAGGTTCCAAAAACTAAATGTAAGGGAAAACTCTTTCACATGTCAGGATGGCCGATCGGTCTAAGGCGCTGCGTTTAGATCACATTCCACTTCTGTGGGCGTGGGTTTGAATCCCACTTCTTACAATAAAATTTTATTCAGTCATTTTTTTTAGTTCTCATAACTTAAATGTAAGGAAACGCTCTCGCACGTGGCAGGATGGCCGAGCGGTCTAAGGTGCTGCAATCAGGTCGCAGTACATGTGCGTGTTCGGGGGTCCAACTCCCACGTCGAGCAACTATATATAGATGAGTTATTTTTTTTAGTTCTCATAAAGTAAATTAAAGGAAAAGTTTTCTCTAATTTCAGAATGGCCAAGCGGTCAAAGGCGCTGCGTTCATGTCGAAGTCCACTCGGTTTTGGCGTGGGTTCGAATCCCACTTCTGATAATGTAATTATATTGAGTCATTATTTTTTTAGTTTTCATAAACTAAATTTAAGGCAAAGATCTTTCATAGGTTAAGATTCCTGAGTGGTCTAAAGCGCTGCGTTCAGGTCGCAGAAAAATTCTGCAGGCGTGGTTTCGGATTCCACGTTTCACAATTTTATATTTCATTCATTCATTTTTTTAAGTTCTCATTATTAAAATGAAAGGAAACCCTCTTCCACGTGTCAGGATGGCCGAGCGATCTAAGGCGCTGCGTTCAGGTCGTAGTCCACTTGTGTGGGCGTGGGTTCGAATCCCACTTATGACAATGTATTTCTATTCAGTCATTTTTTGAGGTTAAAGAACTAAATGCAAGGGAAAGCTAATCTGTGTGTCAGGATGGACGAGCGGTTTAAGGCGCTGCAATCAGGTCGTAGTCCGCTTGCTTGTTTGTGGGTTCGAATCCCACTTCGGACAATGTATTTATTTCAGTCATTTTTTGAGTTTAAAAAAACTTTATGCAAGGTAAAGCTATTTTGCGTGTCAGGATGGCCGAGCGGTCTTAAGCGCTGCGTTCAGGTCGCAGTCCATTTGGGTGGGAGTGGGTTTGAATCCCACGTCTGACAATGTATTTCTATTCAGTCGTTTTTTGAGGTTAAAGAAATAAATGCAAGGGAAAGCTATTTTGCGTGTCAGGATGGCCGATCGGTCTAATTCGCTTCGTTCAGGTCGCAGTCCATTTCTGTGGGCGTGGGTTCGAATCCCACTTCTGATAATGTACTTTTATTCAGTCATTATTTTTTTAGCTTTCATAAACTAAATGTAAGGCAAAGAGATATTTCATAGGTTAAGATTCCTGAGCGGTCTAAAGCGCTGCGTTTAGGTCGCAGTAAAATTCTGCAGGCGTGGTTTCGGATTCCACGTTTGACAATTATAATTCATTCATTCATTTTTTAGTTCTCATTAATTAAATGAAAGGAAACACTCTCCCACGTGTCAAGATGGCCAAGCGGTTTAAGGCACTGCGTTCAGGTCGCAGTCCACTTCTGTGGGCGTGGGTTTTGAATCCCACGTCTGACAATAAAAATGTATTCAGTCATTTTTTTTTAGTTCTCATAATTTAAATAAAAGGAAACGCTCTCGCACGTGTCAGGATCGCCGAGCGGTCTAAGGCGCTGCAATCAGGTCACAGACCACTTGCGTGATCGGGCGTCCAAATCCCACGTCGAGCAATTATATTTAGTTGAGTTATTTTTTTTTAGTTCTCATAAAGTAAATTAAAGGAAATGTTTTCTCAATATTCAGGCTGGCCAAGCGGTCAAAGTTGCTGGGTTCATGTCGAAGTCGACTCGGTTTTGGTGTGGGTTTCGAATCCCATTTCTGATAATGTATTTCTATTCAGTCATTTTTTGAGGTTAAAGAACTAAATGCAAGGGAAAGCTATTTTGCGTGTCAAGATGGCCGAGCGGTTTAAGGCGCTGGAATCAGGTCGTAGTACACTTGCGTGGGCGTGAATTTGAATCCTACTTCTGACAATGTATTTTTTCAGTCATTTTTTGAGGTTAAAAACTACATGCAAGGGAAAGCTATTTTGCGTGTCAGGATGGCCGAGTGGTCTAAGGCGCTGCGTTCAGGTCGCAGTCCATTTGTGTGGGAGTGGGTTTGAATCCTACTTCTGACAATGTATTTCTATTCAGTCTTTTTTTTGAGGTTAAAGAACTAAATGCAAGGGAAAGCTATTTTGCGTGTCAGGAGAGACGAGCAGTTTAAGGCGCTGCAATCAGGTCGTAGTCCACTTGCGTGGTCGTAGGTTCGAATCCCACTTCGGACAATGTATTTCTTTTCAGTTTTTTTTTTGAGTTTTAAAAAACTACATGCAAGGGAAAGCTATCCTGCGTGTCAGGATGGCCGAGCGGTCCTAAGGCGCTGCGTTCAGGTAGCAGTCTAGTTCTGTTGACGTGGGTTCGATTCCCAATTCTGACAATAAAATTTTATTCACAAATTCTTCTTAGGTTCCAAGAACTAAATGTAAGGAAAAGTCTTTCACATGTCAGGATGGCAGATCGGTCTAAGGCGCTGCGTTTCGATCACATTCCACTTCTGTGGACGTGGGTTCGAATCCCACTTCAAACAATAGAATTTTATTTATTCAGTCATTTTGTTTTTGTTCTCATAACTTAAATATAAGGAAACGCTCTCGCACGTGTCAGGATGGCCGATCGGTTTAAGGCGCTGCAATCAGGTCGCAGTACACTTGCGTGTTCGGGAGTCCAACTCCCACGTCGAGCAATTATGTTTGGTTGAGTTATTTTATTTTAGTTCTCATAAAGTAAATTAAAGGAAACGTTTTCTCAAATTTCAGGTTGGCCAAGCGGTCAAAGGCGCTGCGTTCATGTCGATGTCCACTCGGTTTTGGCGTGGGTTCGAATCCTACTTCTGATAATGTAATTTTATTGAGTCATTATTTTTTTTAGTTTTCATAAGCTAAATGTAAGGGAAAGGTCTTTCACAGATTAAGATTCCTGAGCGGTCTAAAGCGCTGCGTTTAAGTCGCAGTAAAATTCTGCAGGCGTGGTTTTGGATTCCACGTTTGACAATTTTATTTCTTTCATTCATTTTTTAAGTTCTCATTAATTAAATGAAAGGAAACACTCTCCCACGTGTCAAGATGGCCAAGCGGTTTAAGGCACTGCGTTCAGGTCGCAGTCCACTTCTGTGGGCGTGGGTTTGAATCCCACGTCTGACAATAAAAATGTATTCAGTCATTTTTTTTAGTTCTCATAATTTAAATAAAAAGGAAACGCTCTCGCACGTGTCAGGATCGCCGAGCGGTCTAAGGCGCTGCAATCAGGTCACAGACCACTTGCGTGATCGGGCGTCCAAATCCCACGTCGAGCAATTATATTTAGTTGAGTTATTTTTTTTTAGTTCTCATAAAGTAAATTAAAGGAAATGTTTTCTCAATATTCAGGCTGGCCAAGCGGTCAAAGTTGCTGGGTTCATGTCGAAGTCGACTCGGTTTTGGTGTGGGTTCGAATCCCATTTCTGATAATGTATTTCTATTCAGTCATTTTTTGAGGTTAAAGAACTAAATGCAAGGGAAAGCTATTTTGCGTGTCAAGATGGCCGAGCGGTTTAAGGCGCTGGAATCAGGTCGTAGTACACTTGCGTGGGCGTGAATTTGAATCCTACTTCTGACAATGTATTTTTTCAGTCATTTTTTGAGGTTAAAAAACTACATGCAAGGGAAAAGCGTGTCAGGATGGCCGAGTGGTCTAAGGCGCTGCGTTCAGGTCGCAGTCCATTTGTGTGGGAGTGGGTTTGAATCCTACTTCTGACAATGTATTTCTATTCAGTCTTTTTTGAGGTTAAAGAACTAAATGCAAGGGAAAGCTATTTTGCGTGTCAGGAGAGACGAGCAGTTTAAGGCGCTGCAATCAGGTCGTAGTCCACTTGCGTGGTCGTAGGTTCGAATCCCACTTCGGACAATGTATTTCTTTCAGTTTTTTTTGAGTTTTAAAAAACTACATGCAAGGAAAGCTATCCTGCGTGTCAGGATGGCCGAGCGTCTAAGGCGCTGCGTTCAGGTCGCAGTCTAGTTCTGTTGACGTGGGTTCGATTCCCAATTCTGACAATAAAATTTTATTCACAAATTCTTCTTAGGTTCCAAAAACTAAATGTAAGGGAAAAGTCTTTCACATGTCAGGATGGCAGATCGGTCTAAGGCGCTGCGTTTCGATCACATTCCACTTCTGTGGGCGTGGGTTCGAATCCCACTTCAAACAATAGAATTTTATTCAGTCATTTTGTTTTTGTTCTCATAACTTAAATATAAGGAAACGCTCTCGCACGTGTCAGGATGGCCGAGCGGTCTAAGGCGCTGCAATCAGGTCGCAGTACACTTGCGTGTTCGGGAGTCCAACTCCCACGTCGAGCAATTATGTTTGGTTGAGTTATTTTATTTAGTTCTCATAAAGTAAATTAAAGGAAACGTTTTCTCAAATTTCAGGTTGGCCAAGCGGTCAAAGGCGCTGCGTTCATGTCGATGTCCACTCGGTTTTGGCGTGGGTTCGAATCCTACTTCTGATAATGTAATTATATTGAGTCATTATTTTTTTTTAGTTTTCATAAGCTAAATGTAAGGGAAAGATCTTTCACAGATTAAGATTCCTGAGCGGTCTAAAGCGCTGCGTTTAAGACGCAGTAAAATTCTGCAGGCGTGGTTTTGGATTCCACGTTTGACAATTTTATTTCTTTCATTCATTTTTTTTTTAAGTTCTCATTAATTAAATGAAAGGAAACCCTCTCCTGCGTTCAGGTCGCAGTCCACTTCTGTGGGCGTGGGTTCGAATCCCACTTCTGACAATATTATTTTATTCACATACTTTTCTTAGGTTACAAAAACTAAATGTAAGAGAAAACTATTTCACATATCAGGATGGCCAATCGGTCTAAGGCGCTGCGTTTAGATCACTTTCCACTTCTGTGGTAGTGGGTTCGAATCCCACTTCAAACAATAGAATTTTATTCAGTCATTTTGTTTTTGTTCTCATAACTTAAATATAAGGAAACGCTCTCGCACGTGTCAGGATGGCCGATCGGTTTAAGGCGCTGCAATCAGGTCGCAGTACAATTGCGCGTTCGCGGGTCAAACTCCCACGTCGAGCAATTATATTTAGTTGAGTTATTTTTTATAGTTCTCATAAAGTAAATTAAAGGAATCGTTTTCTCAAATTTCAGGATGGCCAAGCGGACAAAGGCGCTGCGTTCATGTCGAAGTCCACTCGGTTTTGAAGTGGATTCGAATCCCACATCTAATAATGTAATTTTATTCAGTCATTTTTTTAGTTCTCATAAACTAAATGTAAGGGAAAGATCTTTCACAGATTAAGATTTCTGAGCGGTCTAAAGCGCTGCGTTTAAGTCGCAGTAAAATTCTGCAGGCGTGGTTTCGGATTCCACGTTTGACAATTTTATTTCATTCATCCATTTTTTTAAGTTCGCATTAATTAAATGAAAGGAAACCCTCTCCCTCGTGTCAGGATAGCCGAGCGATCTAAGGCGCTGCGTTCAGGTCGTAGTCCACTTGTGTGGGCGTGGGTTCGAATCCCACTTCTGACAATGTATTTCTATTCAGTCATTTTTTGAGGTTAAAGAACTAAATGCAAGGGAAAGCTAATCTGCTTGTCAGGAGGGACGAGCGGTTTAAGGCGCTGCCATCAGGTCGTAGTTCACTTGCGTGTTCGTGGGTTCGAATCCCACTTCGGACAATGTATTTCTTTCAATCATTTTTTGAGTTTAAAAAAACTTTATGCAAGGGAAAGCTATTCTGTGTGTCAGGATGGCCGAGTGATCTAAGGCGCTGCGTTCAGGTCGCAGTCCACTTCTGTGGGCGTGGGTTCGAATCCCACTTCTGACAGTAAAATTTTATTCACATACTTTTCATAGGTTCAAAAACTAAATGTAAGGAAAACTCTTTCACATGTCAGGATGGCCGCGATCGGTCTAAGGCGCTGCGTTTAGATCACATTCCACTTCTGACAGTAAAATTTTATTCAGTCATTTTTTTTAGTTCTCATAACTTAAATGTAAGAAAATGCTCTCGCACGTGTCAGGATGGCCGATCTGTCTAAGACTCTGCAATCAGGTCGCAGTACACTTGCGCGTTTGCGGGTCATACTCCCACGTCGAGCAATTATATTTAGTTGAGTTATTTTTTTTAGTTCTCATAAAGTAAATTAAAGGAAACGTTTTCTCAAATTTCAGGATGGCCAAGCGGTCAAAGACGCTGCGTTCATGTCGAAGTCCACTCGGTTTTGAAGTGGATTCGAATCCCCTTATAATAATGTAATTTTATTCAGTCATTATTTTTTAGTTCTCATAAACTAAATGTAAGGGAAAGATGTTTCACAGGTTAAGATTCCTGAGCGGTCTAAAGCGCTGCGTTTAAGTCGCAGTAAAATTCTGCAGGCATGGTTTTGGATTCCACGTTTGACAATTTTATTTCATTCATTCATTTTTTTAAGTTCTCATTAATTAAATGAAAGGAAACCCTCTCCCACGTGTCAGGATGGCCGAGCGATCAAAGGCGCTGCGTTCATGTCGAAGTCGACTCGGTTTTGGCGTGGGTTCGAGTCCCATTTCTGATAATGTATTTCTATTCAGTCATTTTTTGAGGTTAAAGAACTAAATGCAAGGGAAAGCTATTTTGCGTGTCAAGATGGCCGAGCGGTTTAAGGCGCTGGCATCAGGTCGTAGTACACTTGCGTGGGCGTGAATTTGAATCCCACTTCTGACAATGTATTTTTTTCAGTCATTTTTAGAGGTTAAAAAACTTTATGCAAGGGAGAGCTATTTTGCGTGTCAGGATGGCCGAGCGGTCTTAAGCGCTGCGTTCAGGTCGCAGTCCATTTGGGTGGGAGTGGGTTTAAATCCCACGTCTGACAATGTATTTCTATTCAGTCGTTTTTTGAGGTTAAAGAAATAAATGCAAGGGAAAGCTATTTTGCGTGTCAGGATGGCCGATCGGTCTAATTCGCTTCGTTCAGGTCGCAGTCCATTTCTGTGGGCGTGGGTTCGAATCCCACTTCTGATAATGTACTTTTATTCAGTCATTATTTTTTAGCTTTCATAAACTAAATGTAAGGCAAAAAGAGATATTTCATAGGTTAAGATTCCTGAGCATTCTAAAGCGCTGCGTTTAGGTCGCAGTAAAATTCTGCAGGCGTGGTTTCGGATTCCACGTTTGACAATTATAATTCATTCATTCATTTTTTTAGTTCTCATTAATTAAATGAAAGGAAACACTCTCCCACGTGTCAAGATGGCCAAGCGGTTTAAGGCACTGCATTCAGGTCGCAGTCCACTTCTGTGGGCGTGGGTTTGAATCCCACGTCTGACAATAAAAATGTATTCAGTCATTTTTTTTAGTTCTCATAATTTAAATGCAAGGAAACGCTCTCGCACGTGTCAGGATCGCCGAGCGGTCTAAGGCGCTGCAATCAGGTCACAGTCCACTTGCGTGATCGGGCGTCCAAATCCCACGTCGAGCAATTATATTTAGTTGAGTTATTTTTTTTTAGTTCTCATAAAGTAAATTAAAGGAAATGTTTTCTCAATATTCAGGCTGGCCAAGCGGTCAAAGGTGCTGGGTTCATGTCGAAGTCGACTCGGTTTTGGTGTGGGTTCGAATCCCATTTCTGATAATGTATTTCTATTCAGTCATTTTTTGAGGTTAAAGAACTAAATGCAAGGGAAAGCTATTTTGCGTGTCAAGATGGCCGAGCGGTTTAAGGCGCTGGAATCAGGTCGTAGTACACTTGCGTGGGCGTGAATTTGAATCCTACTTCTGACAATGTATTTTTTTCAGTCATTTTTTGAGGTTAAAAAACTACATGCAAGGGAAAGCTATTTTGCGTGTCAGGATGGCCGAGTGTTCTAAGGCGCTGCGTTCAGGTCGCAGTCCATTTGTGTGGGAGTGGGTTTGAATCCTACTTCTGACAATGTATTTCTATTCAGTCTTTTTTTGAGGTTAAAGAACTAAATGCAAGGGAAAGCTATTTTGCGTGTCAGGAGAGACGAGCAGTTTAAGGCGCTGCAATCAGGTCGTAGTCCACTTGCGTGTTCGTAGGTTCGAATCCCACTTCGGACAATGTATTTCTTTCAGTCTTTTTTGAGTTTTAAAAAACTACATGCAAGGGAAAGCTATTCTGCGTGTCAGGATGGCCGAGCGGTCTAAGGCGCTGCGTTCAGGTCGCAGTCTAGTTCTGTTGACGTGGGTTCGATTCCCAATTCTGACAATAAAATTTTATTCACAAATTCTTCTTAGGTTCCAAAAACTAAATGTAAGGGAAAAGTCTTTCACATGTCAGGATGGCAGATCGGTCTAAGGCGCTGCGTTTCGATCACATTCCACTTCTGTGGGCGTGGGTTCGAATCCCACTTCTGACAATAAAATTTTATTCAATCTTTTTTTTTTTTTTTTGTTCTCATAACTTAAATGTAAGGAAACGCTCTCGCACGTGTCAGGATGGCCGAGCGGTCAAAGGCGCTGCAATCAGGTCGCAGTACACTTGCGTGTTCGGGAGTCCAACTCCCACGTCGAGCAATTATGTTTGGTTGAGTTATTTTATTTAGTTCTCATAAAGTAAATTAAAGGAAACGTTTTCTCAAATTTCAGGATGGCCAAGCGGTCAAAGGCGCTGCGTTCATGTCGATGTCCACTCGGTTTTGGCGTGGGTTCGAATCCTACTTCTGATAATGTAATTTTATTGAGTCATTATTTTTTTAGTTTTCATAAGCTAAATGTAAGGCAAAGATCTTCCACAGGTTAAGATTCCTGAGCGGTCTAAAGCGCTGCGTTTAAGTCGCAGTAAAATTCTGCAGGCGTGGTTTTGGATTCCACGTTTGACAATTTTATTTCTTTCATTCATTTTTTTAAGTTCTCATTAATTAAATGAAAGGAAACCCTCTCCTGCGTGGGTTCGATTCCCAATTCTGACAATAAAATTTTATTCCCAAACTCTTCTTAGGTTACAAAAACTAAATGTAAGAGAAAACTATTTCACATATCAGGATGGCCAATCGGTCTAAGGCGCTGCGTTTAGATCACTTTCCACTTCTGTGGTAGTGGGTTCGAATCCCACTTCAAACAATAGAATTTTATTCAGTCATTTTGTTTTTGTTCTCATAACTTAAATATAAGGAAACGCTCTCGCACGTGTCAGGATGGCCGATCGGTTTAAGGCGCTGCAATCAGGTCGCAGTACAATTGCGCGTTCGCGGGTCAAACTCCCACGTCGAGCAATTATATTTAGTTGAGTTATTTTTTATAGTTCTCATAAAGTAAATTAAAGGAAACGTTTTCTCAAATTTCAGGATGGCCAAGCGGACAAAGGCGCTGCGTTCATGTCGAAGTCCACTCGGTTTTGAAGTGGATTCGAATCCCACATCTAATAATGTAATTTTATTCAGTCATTTTTTAGTTCTCATAAACTAAATGTAAGGGAAAGATCTTTCACAGATTAAGATTTCTGAGCGGTCTAAAGCGCTGCGTTTAAGTCGCAGTAAAATTCTGCAGGCGTGGTTTCGGATTCCACGTTTGACAATTGTATTTCATTCATTCATTTTTTTAAGTTCGCATTAATTAAATGAAAGGAAACCCTCTCCCTCGTGTCAGGATGGCCGAGCGATCTAAGGCGCTGCGTTCAGGTCGTAGTCCACTTGTGTGGGCGTGGGTTCGAATCCCACTTCTGACAATGTATTTCTATTCAGTCATTTTTTGAGGTTAAAGAACTAAATGCAAGGGAAAGCTAATCTGCTTGTCAGGAGGGACGAGCTGTTTAAGGCGCTGCCATCAGGTCGTAGTTCACTTGCGTGTTCGTGGCTTCGAATCCCACTTCGGACAATGTATTTCTTTCAATCATTTTTGAGTTTAAAAAACTTTATGCAAGGGAAAGCTATACTGTGTGTCAGGATGGCCGAGTGATCTAAGGCGCTGCGTTCAGGTCGCAGTCCACTTCTGTGGGCGTGGGTTCGAATCCCACTTCTGACAGTAAAATTTTATTCACATACTTTTCATAGGTTCCAAAATTTAAATGTAAGGGAAAACTCTTTCACATGTCAGGATGGCCGCGATCGGTCTAAAGCGCTGCCTTTAGGTCGCAGTAAAATTCTGCAGGCGTGGTTTCGGATTCCACGTTTGACAATTATAATTCATTCATTCATTTTTTTAGTTCTCATTAATTAAATGAAAGGAAACACTCTCCCATGTGTCAAGATGGCCAGGCGGTTTAAGGCACTGCGTCAGGTCGCAGTCCACTTCTGTGGGCGTGGGTTCGAATCCCACTTCTGAAAATAAAATTTTATTCAGTCATTTTTTTTAGTTCTCTTAACTTAAATGTAAGGAAACGCTCTCGCATGTGGCAGGATGGCCGAGCGGTCTAAGGTGCTGCAATCAGGTCGCAGTACACGTGCGTGTTCGGGGGTCCTACTCCCTCGTCGAGCAACTATATTTAGTTGAGTTATTTTTTTTAGTTCTCATAAAGTAAATTAAAGGAAACGTTTTCTCAAATTTCAGGATGGCCAAGCGGTCAAAGACGCTGCGTTCATGTCGAAGTCCACTCGGTTTTGAAGTGGATTCGAATCCCCCTTATAATAATGTAATTTTATTCAGTCATTATTTTTTAGTTCTCATAAACTAAATGTAAGGGAAAGATCTTTCACAGGTTAAGATTCCTGAGTGGTCTAAAGCGCTGCGTTCAGGTCGCAGAAAAATTCTGCAGGCGTGGTTTCGGATTCCACGTTTGACAATTTTATTTCATTCATTCATTTTTTTAAGTTCTCATTAATTAAATAAAAGGAAACAGTCTCCCACGTGTCAGTATGGCCGAGCGGTCTAAGGCTCTGCGATCAGGTCGAAATCCACTTGTGTGGACGTGGGTTCGAATCCCACTTCTGACAATGTATTTCTATTCAGTCATTTTTTGAGGTTAAATAACTAAATGCAAGGAAAAGCTATTTTGCGTGTCAGGATGGCCGAGCGGTTTAAGGCGCTGCAATCAGGTCGTTGTACCATTGCGTGGGCGTGAATTTGAATCCCACTTCTGACAATGTATTTCTTTCAGTCATTTTTTTTAAGGTTAAAAACTACATGCAAGGGAAAGCTATTTTAGTGTCAGGATGGCCGAGCGGTGTAAGGCGCTGCGTTCAGGTCGCAGTCCACTTGTGTGGGCGTGGGTTTGAATCCCACTTCTGACAATGTATTTCTATTCAGTCGATTTTTGAGGTTAAAGAACTAAATGCAAGGGAAAGCTATTTTGCGTGTCAGGATTGCCGATCGGTCTAATTCGCTGCGTTCAGGTCGCAGTCCACTTCTGTGGGCGTGGGTTCGAATCCCACTTCTTACAATAAAAATTTATTCTGTCATTTTTTTTAGTTCTCATAACTTAAATGTAAGGAAACGCTCTCGCACGTGTCAGGATGGCCGAGCGGTCTAAGGCGCTGCAATCAGGTCGCAGTACACGTGCGTGTTCGGGGGTCCTACTCCCTCGTCGAGCAATTATATTTAGTTGAGTTATTTTTTTTAGTTCTCATAAACTAAATTAAAGGCAACGTTTTCTCAAATTTCAGTATGGCCAAGCGGTCAAAGGCGCTGCGTTCATGTCGAAGTCCACTCGGTTTTGAAGTGGATTCGAATCCCCCTTATAATAATGTAATTTTATTCAGTCATTATTTTTTAGTTCTCATAAACTAAATGTAAGGGAAAGATCTTTCACAGGTTAAGATTCCTGAGCTGTTTAAACGCTGCGTTTAAGTCGCAGTAAAATTCGGCAGGCGTTGTTTCGGATTCCACGTTTGACAATTATATTTCATTCATTCATTTTTTTAAGGTCTCATTAATTAAATGAAAGGAAACACTCTCCCACGTGTCAGGATGGCCGAGCGGTCTAAGGCGCTGCGTTCAGGTCGCAGTCCACTTCTGTGGGCGCGGGTTCGAATCCCACTTATGACAATTAAATTTTATTCACATACTTTTCTTAGGTTCCAAAAACTATAAATGTAAGGGAAAAGTCTTTCACATGTCAGGATGGCCGATCGGTCTAAGGCGCTGCGTTTAGATCACATTCCACTTCTGACAGTAAAATTTTATTCAGTCATTTTTTTTTAGTTCTCATAACTTAAATGTAAGGAAATGCTCTCGCACGTGTCAGGATGGCCGATCGGTCTAAGGCGCTGCAATCAGGTCGCAGTACATTTGCGCGTTCGCGCGTCAAACTCCCACGTCGAGCAATTATATTTAGTTGAGTTATTTTTTTTAGTTCTCATAAAGTAAATTAACGGAAACGTTTTCTCAAATTTCAGGATGGCCAAGCGGTCAAAGGTGCTGCGGTCATGTCGCAGTCCACTTGTGTGGGCTTGGGTTTGAATCCCACTTCTGACAATGTATTTCTATTCAGTCTTTTTGGAGGTTAAAGAACTAAATGCAAGGGATAGCTATATTGCGTGTCAGGATGGTCGAGCGGTCTAAGGCGCTGCGTTCAGGTCGCAGTCCACTTCTGTGGGCGTGTTTTATTCACATACTTTTCATAGGTTCCAAAAACTAAATGTAAGGGAAAACTCTTTCACATGTCAGGATGGCCGATCGGTCTAATGCGCTGCGTTTAGATCACATTCCACTTCTGTGGAAGTGGGTTCGAATCCCACTTATGACAATAAAATTTTATTCAGTCATTTTTTGTTAGTTCTCATAACTTAAATGTAAGAAACGCGCTGTCGCATGTGTCAGGATGGCCGAGCGGTCTAAGGCGCTAAAATCAGGTCGCAGTACACTTGCGTGTTCGGGGTCCAAATCCGACGTCGAGCAATTTTATTTAGTTGAGTTATTTTATTTAGTTCTCATAAAGTAAATTAAAGGAAAAGTTTTCTCAAATTTCAGGATGGCCAAGCGGTCAATGGCGCTGCGTTCATGTTGCAGTCCACTTGTGTGGGCTTGGGTTTGAATCCCACTTCTGACAATGTATTTTATTCAGTCATTTTTTGAGGTTAAAGAACTAAATGCAAGGGATAGCTATATTGCGTGTCTGAATGGCCGAGCGGTCTAAGGCGCTGCTTTCAGGTCGCAGTCCACTTCTGTGGGCGTGGGTTCGAATCCCACTTCTGACAATAGAATTTTATTCCGTCATTTTTTTTTTTTTAGTTCTCATAACTTAAATGTAAGGAAATGCTCTCGCACGTGTCAGGATGGCCGAGCGGTCTAAGACGCTGCAATCAGGTCGCAGTACACTTGCGTGTTCAGGGGTCCAACTCCCACGTCGAGCAATTTTATTTAGTTACTTTTTTTAGTTCTTATAAAGTATATTCAAGGAAACGTTTTCTCCAATTTCAGGATGGCCAAGCGGTCAAAGGCGCTGCGTTCATGTCGAAGTATATTTGGATTTGGCGTGGGTTTGAATCCCACTTCTGATAATGTAATTTTATTGAGTTATTATTTTTTTAGTTTTCATAAACTAAATGTAAGGGAAAGATCTTTCACAGATTAAGATTCCTGAGCGATCTAAAGCTCTGCGTTTAAGTCGCAGTAAAATTCTGCAGGCGTGGTTTCGGATTACACGATTGACAATTATAATTCATTCATTCATTTTTTTAGTTTTCATTAATTAAATGAAAGGAAACACTCTCCTACGTGTCAGATGGTCGAGCGGTCTAAGGCGCTGCGTTCAGGTCACAGTCCTCTTGTGTGGGCGTGGGTTCGAATCCCCCTTCTGACAATGTATTTTTATTCAGTCATCTTTTGAGGTTAAAGAACTAAATGCAAGGGAAAGCTCTTTTACGTGTCAGAATTCGCCGAGCGGTCTAAGGCGCCGCGTTCCGGTCCCAGTACACTTGCGCGTTCGCGGGTCAAACTCCCACGTCGAGCAATTGTATTTAGTTGAGTTATTTTTTTTAGTTCTCATAAAGTAAATTAAAGGAAACGTTTTCTCTAATTTCAGGATGGCCAAGCGGTCAAAGACGCTGCGTTCATGTCGAAGTCCATTTGGTTTTGAAGTGGATTCGAATCCCACTTATAATAATGTAATTTGGTAAAATCCTAGGAAGACCCACTGCTGTTTTTGGTGCCAAAATTTTTTCGCGAAAAAGCGCCAAATTGAAGGTTTTCAAAAAGGCGTCAATGACGAAAAACTTTTGGGAAGCGCATGCGTCAGCGGAGGGGGGATGAAATGGGCGTTTCGCAAAGATGAAATCGAATAAATACATTAAATTAATCATTATATAAATAAAAAAACGGAGAAAGCAATGAAATTCATTTTAAAAAAGTATTCTAAAACCAGTGTGTACAACATGATTTACATTTTTAAAAAGGACGAAAGGGGCGTTTCGCAAAGATAAAATCGCAGAAATACATGAAATCAATTTTAAAAATGTTAAAAAGCACTTACCTTACGCTTGCATTTCGTCATAATCTGTTGGTGGATACACCCTTGCGATGGATGCAAGGAATTTATTAAAATTCTCATTCACCAACTTGTGATCGTAAGATCGCCGCCACATGTCTTATTAACTTTGTCTCATATTCTTATTATTTTTCAAGTCATTCATCACGAACTCATTCATGCTCTTGCCAAACCAATATCTCGTCAAACGCAAGATAATAGTTATAGCAAGTTTGCTTTCGCTAAACCAAGTGCCCTTTCTCACATTCCGAACGACGTCGTGGCGATTATCTTTCGACTGGTTGCGGCAACGCCATTCGTAGCCGTCAACCGTTCCCTTTCGCTTTTGCAAACGCATATTTTTTTAAACCTCGGGCATTCATAACGAGAAGCAATTAAATTATCTTTCATACACCATTCTAACGTCTCTTTCCCCTCTGTGCCCAGGAGCACAAAGAAACCTATCGTAGCCTCACTTTAAAGTAATTTCCTTTCACACGCCATTCTTAACCTCCAGCGAAGTCAAATGTCAAAACGACGTTTTTTCGAAAAGGCGAAAAATGTTGCACTTTTTTAGGTTGCCATTTTTTCGGTGATTTGAAAATCCAAATTTTTTGATGAAATGGAAAGGTTACCATTTTGTAACCTTTATCGCTCAAAATTTGGCGACAAAAATTTGGCGACCAAAAGTGGGTCCTCCTAGGATTCAACCATGTAATTTTATTCAGTCATTATTTTTTTAGTTCTCATAAACTAAATGTAAGGGAAAGATCTTTCACAGGTTAAGATTCCTGAGCGGTCTAAAGCGCGGCGTTTAAGTCGCAGTAAAATTCTTCAGGCGTGGTTTTGGATTCCACGTTTGACAATTTTATTTCATTCATTCATTTTTTTAAGTTCTCATTAATTAAATGAAAGGAAACCCTCTCCCACGTGTCAGGATGGCCGATCGATCTAATGCGCTGCGTTCAGGTCGCAGTCCACTTGTGTGGTCGTGGGTTCGAATCCCACTTCTGACAATAAAATTTTATTCACATACTTTTCTTAGGTTCCAAAAACTAAATGTAAGGGAAAAGTCTTTCACATGTCAGGATGGCCGATCGATCTAAAACGCTGCGTTTAGATCTCATTCCACTTCTGTGGGCGTGGGTTCGAATCCCACTTCTGACAATAAAATTTTATTCAGTCATTTTTTTTTAGTTCTCATAACTTAAATGTAAGGAAACGCTCTCGCACGTGTCAGGATGGCCGAGCGGTCTAAGGCGCTGCAATCAGGTCGCAGTACACTTGCGTGTTCGATGGTCCAACTCCCACTTCGAGCAATTATATTTAGTTGAGTTATTTTTTTAGTTCTCATAAACTAAATTAAAGGCAACGTTTTCTCAAATTTCAGAATGGCCAAGCGGTCAAAGGCGCTGCGTTCATGTCGAAGTCCACTCGGTTTTGGCGTGGGATCGAATCTCACTTCTGATAATGTAATTTTATTCAGTCATTATTTTTTTAGTTCTCATAAACTAAATGTAAGGGAAAGATCTTTCACAGGTTAAGATTCCTGAGCGGTTTAAAGCGCTGCGTTTAAGTCGCAGTAAAATTCGGCAGGCGTTGTTTCGGATTCCACGTTTGACAATTATATTTCATTCATTCATTTTTTAAGGTCTCATTAATTAAATGAAAGGAAACACTCTCCCACGTGTCAGGATGGCCGAGCGGTCTAAGGCGCTGCGTTCAGGTCGCAGTCCACTTGAGTGGGCGTGGGTTCGAATTCCACTTCTGACAATGTATTTTTATTCAGTCATTTTTTGAGGTTAAAGAACTAAATGCAAGGGCAAGATATTTTGCGTGTCAGGATGGACGAGCGGTTTAAGGCGCTGCAATCAGGTCGTAGTCCACTTGTGGGTTCGAATCCCACTTCGGACAATGTAATTCTTTCAGTCATTTTTTGAGTTTTAAAAAACTACATGCAAAGGAAAGCTATTCTGCGTGTCAGGATGGCCGAGCGGTCTAAGGCGCTGCGTTCAGGTCGCAGTCCACTTCTGTGGGCGTGGGTTCGAAACCCACTTCTGACAATTAAATTTTATTCACATACTTTTCTTAGGTTCCAAAAACTATAAATGTAAGGGAAAAGTCTTTCACATGTCAAGATGGCCGATCGGTCTAAGGCACTGCGTTTAGATCACATTCCACTTCTGACAGTAAAATTTTATTCAGTCATTTTTTTTTTTGTTCTCATAACTTAAATGTAAGGAAATGCTCTCGCACGTGTCAGGATGGCCGATCGGTCTAAGGCGCTGCAATCAGGTCGCAGTACACTTGCGCGTTCGCGGGTCAAACTCCCACGTCGAGCAATTATATTTAGTTGAGTTATTTTTTTTAGTTCTCATAAAGTAAATTAAAGGAAACGTTTTCTCAAATTTCAGGATGGCCAAGCGGTCAAAGACGCTGCGTTCATGTCGAAGTCCACTCGGTTTTGAAGTGGATTCGAATCCCACTTATAATAATGTAATTTTATTCAGTCATTATTTTTTTAGTTCTCATAAACTAAATGTAAGGGAAAGATCTTTCACAGGTTAAGATTCCTGAGCGGTCTAAAGCGCTGCGTTTAAGTCGCAGTAAAATTCTGCAGGCGTGGTTTTGGATTCCACGTTTGACAATTTTATTTCATTCATTCATTTTTTTAAGTTCTCATTAAATAAATGAAAGGAAACCCTCTCCCACGTGTCAGGATGGCCGAGCGATCTAAGGCGCTGCGTTCAGGTCGCAGTCCACTTGCGTGTTCGTGGGTTCGAATCCTACTTCGGACAATGTGTTTCTTTCAGTCATTTTTTGAGTTTAAAAAAACTTTATGCAAGGGAAATCTATTCTGTGTGTCAGGATTGCCGAGCGGTCTAAGGCGCTGCGTTCAGGTCGCAGTCCACTTCTGTGGGCGTGGGTTCGAATCCCACTTCTGACAATATAATTTTATTCAGTCATTTTTTGTTAGTTCTCATAACTTAAATGTAAGGAAACGCGCTGTCGCATGTGTCAGGATGGCCGAGCGGTCTAAGGCGCTAAAATCAGGTCGCAGTACACTTGCGTGTTCGGGGGTCCAAATCCGACGTCGAGCAATTTTATTTAGTTGAGTTATTTTATTTAGTTCTCATAAAGTAAATTAAAGGAAAAGTTTTCCCAAATTTCAGGATGGCCAAGCGGTCAATGGCGCTGCGTTCATGTTGCAGTCCACTTGTGTGGGCTTGGGTTTGAATCCCACTTCTGACAATGTATTTCTATTCAGTCATTTTTTGAGGTTAAAGAACTAAATGCAAGGGATAGCTATATTGCGTGTCTGGATGGCCGAGCGGTCTAAGGCGCTGCTTTCAGGTCGCAGTCCACTTCTGTGGGCGTGGGTTCGAATCCCACTTCTGACAATAGAATTTTATTCCGTCATTTTTTTTTAGTTCTCATAACTTAAATGTAAGGAAATGCTCTCGCACGTGTCAGGATGGCCGAGCGGTCTAAGACGCTGCAATCAGGTCGCAGTACACTTGCGTGTTCAGGGGTCCAACTCCCACGTCGAGCAATTTTATTTAGTTACTTTTTTTAGTTCTTATAAAGTATATTCAAGGAAACGTTTTCTCAAATTTCAGGATGGCCAAGCGGTCAAAGGCGCTGCGTTCATGTCGAAGTATATTTTGTTTTGGCGTGGGTTTGAATCCCACTTCTGATAATGTAATTTTATTAAGTCATTATTTTTTTAGTTTTCATAAACTAAATGTAAGGGAAAGATCTTTCACAGATTAAGATTCCTGAGCGATCTAAAGCTCTGCGTTTAAGTCACAGTAAAATTCTGCAGGCGTGGTTTCGGATTACACGATTGACAATTATAATTCATTCATTCATTTTTTTAGTTTTCATTAATTAAATGAAAGGAAACACTCTCCTACGTGTCAGATGGTCGAGCGGTCTAAGGCGCTGCGTTCAGGTCACAGTCCTCTTGTGTGGGCGTGGGTTCGAATCCCACTTCTGACAATGTATTTCTATTCAGTCATCTTTTGAGGTTAAAGAACTAAATGCAAGGGAAAGCTCTTTTACGTGTCAGAATTCGCCGAGCGGTCTAAGGCGCCGCGTTCCGGTCGCAGTCCACTTCTGTGGGCGTTGGTTCGAATCCCACTTCTGACAATAGAATTTTATTCAGTCATTTTTTTTTTAGTTCTCATAACTTAAATGTAAGGAAATGCTCTCGCACGTGTCAGGATGGCCGAGCGGTCTAAGACGCTGCAATCAGGTCGCAGTACACTTGCGTGTTCAGGGGTCCAACTCCCACGTCGAGCAATTTTATTTAGTTACTTTTTTTAGTTCTTATAAAGTATATTAAAGGAAACGTTTTCTCAAATTTCAGGATGGCCAAGCGGTCAAAGACGCTGCGTTCATGTCGAAGTCCACTCGGTTTTGAAGTGGATTCGAATCCCACTTATAATAATGTAATTTTATTCAGTCATTATTTTTTTAGTTCTCATAAACTAAATGTAAGGGAAAGATCTTTCACAGGTTAAGATTCCTGAGCGGTCTAAAGCGCTGCGTTTAAGTCGCAGTAAAATTCTGCAGGCGTGGTTTTGGATTCCACGTTTGACAATTTTATTTCATTCATTCATTTTTTTAAGTTCTCATTAATTAAATGAAAGGAAACCCTCTCCCACGTGTCAGGATGGCCGAGCGATCTAAGGCGCTGCGTTCAGGTCGCAGTCCACTTCTGTGGGCGTGGGTTCGAATCCCACTTCTGACAATAAAATTTTATTCAGTCATTTTTTGTTAGTTCTCATAACTTAAATGTAAGGAAACGCGCTGTCGCTTGTGTCAGGATGGCCGAGCGGTCTAAGGCGCTAAAATCAGGTCGCAGTACACTTGCGTGTTCGGGGGTCCAAATCCGACGTCGAGCAATTTTATTTAGTTGAGTTATTTTATTTAGTTCTCATAAAGTAAATTAAAGGAAACGTTTTCTCAAATTTCAGGATGGCCAAGCGGTCAAAGGCGCTGTGTTCATGTCGAAGTCCACTCGGTTTTGGCGTGGGTTCGAATCCCACTTCTGATAATGTAATTTTATTATGTCATTATTTTTTTTTAGTTTTCATAAACTAAATGTAAGGCAAAGATCTTTCATAGGTTAAGATTCCTGAGTGGTCTAAAGCGCTGCGTTCAGGTCGTAGTAAAATTCTGCAGGCGTTGTTTCGGATTTCACGTTTGACAATTATTTTTCATTCATTCATTTTTTAAGTTCTCATTAATTAAATGAAAGGAAACACTCTCCCACGTGTCAGGATGGCCGAGCGGTCTAAGGCGCTGCGTCCAGGTCGCAGTCCACTTGTGTGGGCGTGGGTTCGAATCCCACTTCTGACAATGTATTTCTATTCAGTCATTTTTTGAGGTTAAAGAACTAAATGCAAGGGAAAGCTGTTTTGCGTATCAGGAGGGACGAGCGGTTTAAGGCGTTGCAATCAGGTCGTAGTCCACTTGCGTGTTCGTGGGTTCGAATCCCACTTCGGATAATGTATTTTTTTCAGTCATTTTTTGAGTTTAAAAACTACATGCAATGGAAAGCTATTCCGTGTGTCAGGATGACCGAGCGGTCTAAGGCGCTGCGTTCAGGTCGCAGTCCACTTCTGTGGGCGTGGGTTCGAATCCCACTTCTAACAATAAAATTTTATTCACATACTTTTCTTAGGTTCCAAAACTAAATGTAACGGAAAACTCTTTCACATGTCAGGATGGCCGATCGGTCTAAGGCGCTGCGTTTAGATCACATTCCACTTCTGTGGGCGTGGGTTCGAATCCCACTTCTGACAATATAATTTTATTCAGTCATTTTTTGTTAGTTCTCATAACTTAAATGTAAGGAAACGCGCTGTCGCATGTGTCAGGATGGCCGAGCGGTCTAAGACGCTGCAATCAGGTCGCAGTACACTTGCGTGTTCAGGGGTCCAACTCCCACGTCGAGAAATTTTATTTAGTTACTTTTTTTAGTTCTTATAAAGTATATTCAAGGAAACGTTTTCTCAAATTTCAGGATGGCCAAGCGGTCAAAGGCGCTGCGTTCATGTCGAAGTCCACTCGGTTTTGGCGTGGGTTCGAATCCCACTTCTGATAATGTAATTTTATTATGTCATTATTTTTTTTTAGTTTTCATAAACTAAATGTAAGGCAAAGATCTTTCATAGGTTAAGATTCCTGAGTGGTCTAAAGCGCTGCGTTCAGGTCGTAGTAAAATTCTGCAGGCGTTGTTTCGGATTTCACGTTTGACAATTATTTTTCATTCATTCATTTTTTAAGTTCTCATTAATTAAATGAAAGGAAACACTCTCCCACGTTTCAGGATGGCCAAGCGATCAAAGACGCTGCGTTCATGTCGAAGTCCACTCGGTTTTGAAGTGGATTCGAATCCCACTTATAATAATGTAATTTTATTCAGTCATTATTTTTTTAGTTCTCATTAACTAAATGTAAGGGAAAGATCTTTCACAGGTTAAGATTCCCGAGCGGTCTAAAGCGCGGCGTTTAAGTCGCAGTAAAATTCTGCAGGCGTGGTTTTGGATTCCACGTTTGACAATTTTATTTCATTCATTCATTTTTTTAAGTTCTCATTAATTAAATGAAAGGAAACCCTCTCCCACGTGTCAGGATGGCCGATCGATCTAATGCGCTGCGTTCAGGTCGCAGTCCACTTGTGTGGGCGTGGGTTCGAATCCCACTTCTGACAATAAAATTTTATTCACATACTTTTCTTAGGTTCCAAAAACTAAAAGTAAGGGAAAAGTCTTTCACATGTCAGGATGGCCGATCGATCTAAAACGCTGCGTTTAGCTCTCATTCCACTTCTGTGGGCGTGGGTTCGAATCCCACTTCTGACAATAAAATTTTATTCAGTCATTTTTTTTTTTAGTTCTCATAACTTAAATGTAAGGAAACGCTCTCGCACGTGTCAGGATGGCCGAGCGGTCTAAGGCGCTGCAATCAGGTCGCAGTACACTTGCGTGTTCGATGGTCCAACTCCCACTTCGAGCAATTATATTTAGTTGAGTTATTTTTTTAGTTCTCATAAACTAAATTAAAGGCAACGTTTTCTCAAAATTCAGAATGGCCAAGCGGTCAAAGGCGCTGCGTTCATGCCGAAGTCCACTCGGTTTTGGCGTGGGGTCGAATCTCACTTCTGATAATGTAATTTTATTCAATCATTATTTTTTTAGTTCTCATAAACTAAATGTAAGGGAAAGATCTTTCACAGGTTAAGATTCCTGACGGTTTAAAGCGCTGCGTTTAAGTCGCAGTAAAATTCGGCAGGCGTTGTTTCGGATTCCACGTTTGACAATTATATTTCATTCATTCATTTTTTAAGGTCTCATTAATTAAATGAAAGGAAACACTCTCCCACGTGTCAGGATGGCCGAGCGGTCTAAGGCGCTGCGTTCAGGTCGCAGTCCACTTGAGTGGGCGTGGGTTCGAATTCCACTTCTGCCAATGTATTTTTATTCAGTCATTTTTTGAGGTTAAAGAACTAAATGCAAGGGCAAGATATTTTGCGTGTCAGGATGGACGAGCGGTTTAAGGCGCTGCATTCAGGTCGTAGTCCACTTGCGTGTTCGTGGGTTCGAATCCCACTTCGGACAATGTAATTCTTTCAGTCATTTTTGAGTTTTAAAAAACTACATGCAAGGGAAAGCTATTTTGCGTGTCAGGATGGCCGAGCGGTCTAAGGCGCTGCGTTCAGGTCGCAGTCCACTTCTGTGGGCGTGGGTTCGAATCCCACTTCTGACAATTAAATTTTATTCACATACTTTTCTTAGGTTCCAAAAACTAAATGTAAGGGAAAAGTCTTTCACATGTCAGGATTGCCGGTCGATCTAAAACGCTGCGTTTAGATCTCATTCCACTTCTGTGGGCGTGGGTTCGAATCCCACTTCTGACAATAAAATTTTATTCATATACTTTTCTTAGGTTCCAAAAACTATAAATGTAAGGGAAAAGTCTTTCACATGTCAGTATGTCCGATCGGTCTAAGGCGCTGCGTTTAGATCACATTCCACTTCTGACAGTAAAATTTTATTCAGTCATTTTTTTTAGTTCTCATAACTTAAATGTAAGGAAACGCTCTCGCACGTGTTAGGATGGCCGAGCGGTCTAAGGCGCTAAAATCAGGTCGCAGTACACTTGCGCGTTCGGGGGTCCAAATCCGACGTCGAGCAATTTTATTTAGTTGAGTTATTTTATTTAGTTCTCATAAAGTAAATTAAAGGAAACGTTTTCTCAAATTTCAGGATGGCCAAGCGGTCAAAGACGCTGCGTTCATGTCGAAGTCCACTCGGTTTTGAAGTGGATTCGAATCCCACTTATAATAATGTAATTTTATTCAGTCATTATTTTTTTAGTTCTCATAAACTAAATGTAAGGGAAAGATCTTTCACAGGTTAAGATTCCTGAGCGGTCTAAAGCGCTGCGTTTAAGTCGCAGTAAAATTCGGCAGGCGTTGTTTCGGATTCCACGTTTGACAATTATATTTCATTCATTCATTTTTTAAGGTCTCATTAATTAAATGAAAGGAAACACTCTCCCACGTGTCAGGATGGCCGAGCGGTCTAAGGCGCTGCGTTCAGGTCGCAGTCCACTTGTGTGGGCGTGGGTTCGAATCCCACTTCTGACAATGTATTTTTTTCAGTCATTTTTTGAGGTTAAAGAACCAAATGCAAGGGAAAGATATTTTGCGTGTCAGGATGGCCGAGCGGTCTAAGGCGCTGCGTTCAGGTCGCAGTCCACTTCTGTGGGCGTGGGTTCGAATCCCACTTCTGACAATTAAATTTTATTCACATACTTTTCTTAGGTTCCAAAAACTAAATGTAAGGGAAAAGTCTTTCACATGTCAGGATTGCCGGTCGATCTAAAACGCTGCGTTTAGATCTCATTCCACTTCTGTGGGCGTGGGTTCGAATCCCACTTCTGACAATAAAATTTTATTCATATACTTTTCTTAGGTTCCAAAAACTATAAATGTAAGGGAAAAGTCTTTCACATGTCAGAATGTCCGATCGGTCTAAGGCGCTGCGTTTAGATCACATTCCACTTCTGACAGTAAAATTTTATTCAGTCATTTTTTTTTTTTAGTTCTCATAACTTAAATGTAAGGAAACGCTCTCGCACGTGTTAGGATGGCCGAGCGGTCTAAGGCGCTAAAATCAGGTCGCAGTACACTTGCGCGTTCGGGGGTCCAAATCCGACGTCGAGCAATTTTATTTAGTTGAGTTATTTTATTTAGTTCTCATAAAGTAAATTAAAGGAAACGTTTTCTCAAATTTCAAGATGGCCAAGCGGTCAATGGCGCTGCGTTCATGTTGCAGTCCACTTGTGTGGGCTTGGGTTAGAATCCCACTTCTGACAATGTATTTATATTCAGTCATTTTTTTGAGGTTAAAGAACTAAATGCAAGGGATAGCTATATTCCGTGTCTGGATGGCCGAGCGGTCTAAGGCGCTGCGTTCAGGTCGCAGTCCACTTCTGTGGGCGTGGGTTCGAATCCCACTTCTGACAATAGAATTTTATTCAGTCATTTTTTTTTAGTTCTCATAACTTAAATGTAAGGAAATGCTCTCGCACGTGTCAGGATGGCCGAGCGGTCTAAGACGCTGCAATCAGGTCGCAGTACACTTGCGTGTTCAGGGGTCCTACTCCCACGTCGATCAATTTTATTTAGTTACTTTTTTTAGTTCTTATAAAGTATATTAAAAGAAACGTTTACTCAAATTTCAGGATGGTCAAGCGGTCAAAGGCGCTGCGTTCATGTCGAAGTCCACTCGGTTTTGGCGTGGGTTCGAATCCCACTTCTGATAATGTAATTTTATTATGTCATTATTTTTTTTTAGTTTTCATAAACTAAATGTAAGGCAAAGATCTTTCATAGGTTAAGATTCCTGAGTGGTCTAAAGCGCTGCGTTCAGGTCGTAGTAAAATTCTGCAGGCGTTGTTTCGGATTTCACGTTTGACAATTATTTTTCATTTATTCATTTTTTAAGTTCTCATTAATTAAATGAAAGGAAACACTCTCCCACGTTTCAGGATGGCCGAGCGGTCTAAGGCGCTGCGAACAGATCGCAGTCCACTTCTGTGGGCGTGGGTTCGAATCCCACTTCTGACAATAAAATTTTATTCACATACTTTTCTTAGGTTCCAAAAACTAAATGTAATGGAAAACTCTTTCACATGTCAGGATGGCCGATCGGTCTAAGGCGCTGCCTTTTTATCACATTCCACTTCTGCGGGCGTGGGTTCGAATCCCACTTCTGATAATGTAATTTTATTCAGTCATTATTTTTTTAGTTTTCATAAACTAAATGTAAGGCAAAGATCTTTCATAGGTTAAGATTCCTGAGTGGTCTAAAGCGCTGCGTTCAGGTCGTAGTAAAATTCTGCAGGCGTTGTTTCGGATTTCACGTTTGACAATTATTTTTCATTCATTCATTTTTTAAGTTCTCATTAATTAAATGAAAGGAAACACTCTCCCACGTTTCAGGATGGCCAAGCGATCAAAGACGCTGCGTTCATGTCGAAGTCCACTCGGTTTTGAAGTGGATTCGAATCCCACTTATAATAATGTAATTTTATTCAGTCATTATTTTTTTAGTTCTCATAAACTAAATGTAAGGGAAAGATCTTTCACAGCTTAAGTTTCCTGAGCGATCTAAAGCGCTTCGTTTAAGTCACAGTAAAATTCTGCAGGCGTGGTTTCCGATTCCACGTTTGACAATTATATTTCATTCATTCATTTTTTTAAGTTCTCATTAATTAAATGAAAGGAAACACTCTCCCACGTGTCAGGATGGCCGAGCGGTCTAAGGCGCTGCGTCCAGGTCGCAGTCCACTTGTGTGGGCGTGGGTTCGAATCCCACTTCTGACAATGTATTTCTATTCAGTCATTTTTTGAGGTTTAAGAACTAAATGCAAGGGAAAGCTGTTTTGCGTATCAGGAGGGACGAGCGGTTTAAGGCGTTGCAATCAGGTCGTAGTCCACTTGCGTGTTCGTGGGTTCGAATCCCACTTCGGATAATGTATTTTTTTCAGTCATTTTTTGAGTTTAAAAAACTACATGCAATGGAAAGCTATTCCGTGTGTCAGGATGACCGAGCGGTCTAAGGCGCTGCGTTCAGGTCGCAGTCCACTTCTGTGGGCGTGGGTTCGAATCCCACTTCTAACAATAAAATTTTATTCACATACTTTTCTTAGGTTCCAAAAACTAAATGTAACGGAAAACTCTTTCACATGTCAGGATGGCCGATCGGTCTAAGGCGCTGCGTTTAGATCACTTTCCACTTCTGTGGGCGTGGGTTCGAATCCCACTTCTGACAATATAATTTTATTCAGTCATTTTTTTTTTAGTTCTCATAACTTAAATGTAAGGAAACGCGCTGTCGCATGTGTCAGGATAGCCGAGCGGTCTAAGACGCTGCAATCAGGTCGCAGTACACTTGCGTGTTCAGGGGGTCCAACTCCCACGTCGAGCAATTTTATTTAGTTCCTTTTTTTTCTTATAAAGTATATTAAAAGAAACGTTTACTCAAATTTCAGGATGGTCAAGCGGTCAAAGGCGCTGCGTTCATGTCGAAGTCCATTTGGTTTTGGCGTGGGTTTGAATCCCACTTCTGATAATGTAATTTTATTGAGTCATTATTTTTTTAGTTTTCATAAACTAAATGTAAGGCAAAGATCTTTCATAGGTTAAGATTCCTGAGTGGTCTAAAGCGCTGCGTTCGAGTCGCAGAAAATCTCTGCAGGCGTGGTTTCGTATTCCACTTTGAGAATTATATTTCATTCATTCATTTTTTAAGTTCTCATTAATTAAATGAAAGGTAACACTCTCCCACGTGTCAGGATGGCCGAGCGGTCTAAGGCGCTGCGTTCAGGTCGCAGTCCACTTGTGTGGACGTGGATCGAATCCCACTTTTGACAATGTATTTCTATTCAGTCATTTTTTGAGGTTAAAGAACTAAATGCAAGGGATAGCTATTTTGCGTGTCAGGATGGCCGAGCGGTTTAAGGCGCTGCAATCAGGTCGTAGTACACTTGCGTGGGCGTGAATTTGAATCTCACTTCTGACAATGTATTTTTTTCAGTCATTTTTAGAGGTTAAAAAACTACATGCAAGGGAGAGCTGTTTTGCGTGTCAGGATGGCCGAGCGGTCTAAGGCGCTGCGTTCAAGTCGCAGTCCACTATGTGTGGGCGTGGGTTTGAATCCCACTTCTGACAATGTATTTCTATTCAGTCATTTTTTGAGGTTAAAGAACTAAATGCAAGGGAAAGCTATTTTGCGTGTCAGGATGGCCGAGCGGTCTAATTCGCTGCGTTCAGGTCGCAGTCCACTTCTGTGGGCGTGGGTTCGAATCCCACTTCTGACAATAAAATTTTATTCACATACTTTTCTTAGGTTCCAAAACTAAATGTAAGGTAAAACACTTTCACATGTCAGGATGGCCGATCGGTCTACGGCGCAGCGTTTTTATCACATTCCACTTCTGTGGGCGTGGGTTCGAATCCCACTTCTGATAATGTAATTTTATTGAGTCATTACTTTTTTTAGTTTTCATAAACTAAATGTAAGGCAAAGATCTTTCATAGGTTAAGATTCCTGAGTGGTCTAAAGCGCTGCGTTCGAGTCGCAGAAAAATTCTGCAGGCGTGGTTTCGGATTCCACGTTTGAGAATTATATTTCATTCATTCATTTTTTAAGTTCTCATTAATTAAATGAAAGGTAACACTCTCCCACGTGTCAGGATGGCCGAGCGGTCTAATTCGCTGCGTTCAGGTCGCAGTCCACTTGTGTGGACGTGGATCGAATCCCACTTTTGACAATGTATTTATTCAGTCATTTTTTGAGGTTAAAGAACTAAATGCAAGGTAAAAGCTATTTTGCGTGTCAGTATGGCCGAGCGGTTTAAGGCGCTGCAATCAGGTCGTAGTACACTTGCGTGGGCTTGAATTTGAATCCCACTTCTGACAATAAAATTTTATTCACATATTTTTCTTAGGTTCCAAAAACTAAATGTAAGGGAAAAATCTTTCATATGTCAGGATGGCCGATCGGTCTAAGGCGCTGCATTTTGATCACATTCCACTTCTGTGGGCGTGGGTTCGAATCCCACTTCTGATAATGTAATTTTATTGAGTCATTATTTTTTTAGTTTTCATAAACTAAATGTAAGGCAAAGATCTTTCATAGGTTAAGATTCCTGAGTGGTCTAAAGCGCTGCGTTCGAGTCGCAGAAAAATTCTGCAGGCGTGGTTTCGGATTCCACGTTTGAGAATTATATTTCATTCATTCATTTTTTAAGTTCTCATTAATTAAATGAAAGGTAACACTCTCCCACGTGTCAGGATGGCCGAGCGGTCTAAGGCGCTGCGTTCAAGTCGCAGTCCACTTGTGTGGACGTGGATCGAATCCCACTTTTGACAATGTATTTCTATTCAGTCATTTTCTGAGGTTAAAGAACTAAATGCAAGGGATAGCTTTTTTGCGTGTCAGGATGGCCGAGCGGTTTAAGGCGCTGCAATCAGGTCGTAGTACACTTGCGTGGGCGTGAATTTGAATCTCACTTCTGACAATGTATTTTTTCAGTCATTTTTAGAGGTTAAAAAACTACATGCAAGGGAAAGCTATTTTGCGTGTCAGGATGGCCGAGCGGTCTAAGGCGCTGAGTTCAAGTCGCAGTCCACTTCTGTGGGCGTGGGTTCGAATCCCACTTCTGACAATGTATTTTCTATTCAGTCATTTTTTGAGGTTAAAGAACTAAATGCAAGGGAAAGCTTTTTTGCTTGTCAGGATGGCCGAGCGGTCTAATTCGCTGCGTTCAGGTCGCAGTCCACTTCTGTGGGCGTGGGTTCGAATCCCACTTCTGACAATAAAATTTTATTCACATACTTTTCTTAGGTTCCAAAAACTAAATGTAAGGAAAAACTTTTCACATGTCAGGATGGCCGATCGGTCTAAGGCGCTGCTTTTTTTATCACATTCCACTTCTGTGGGCGTGGGTTCGAATCCCACTTCTGATAATGTAATTTTATTCAGTCATTATTTTTTTAGTTTTCATAAACTAAATGTAAGGCAAAGATCTTTCATAGGTTAAGATTCCTGAGCGGTCTAAAGCGCTGCGTTCAGGTCGCAGAAAAATTCTGCAGGCGTGGTTTCGGATTCCACGTTTGAGAATTATATTTCATTCATTCATTTTTTTAAGTTCTCATAAATTAAATGAAAGGTAACACTCTCCCACGTGTCAGGATGGCCGAGCGGTCTAAGGCGCTGCGTTCAAGTCGCAGTCCACTTGTGTGGACGTGGATCGAATCCTACTTTTGACAATGTATTTCTATTCAGTCATTTTCTGAGGTTAAAGAACTAAATGCAAGGGATAGCTTTTTTGTGTCAGGATGGCCGAGCGGTTTAAGGCGCTGCAATCAGGTCGTAGTACACTTGCGTGGGCGTGAATTTGAATCTCACTTCTAACAATGTATTTTTTTCAGTCATTTTTAGAGGTTAAAAAACTACATGCAAGGGAAAGCTATTTTGCGTGTCAGGATGGCCGAGCGGTCTAAGGCGCTGAGTTCAAGTCGCAGTCCACTTGTGTGGGCGTGGGTTTGAATCCCACTTCTGACAATGTATTTCTATTCAGTCATTTTTTGAGGTTAAAGAACTAAATGCAAGGGAAAGCTTTTTGCTTGTCAGGATGGCCGAGCGGTCTAATTCGCTGCGTTCAGGTCGCAGTCCACTTCTGTGGGCGTGGGTTCGAATCCCACTTCTGACAATAAAATTTTATTCACATACTTTTTTAGGTTCCAAAAACTAAATGTAAGGAAAAACTTTTCACATGTCAGGATGGCCGATCGGTCTAAGGCGCTGGGTCAATTTTTACTATGAAAAAATGTCATCCACTCTGTGGGCGTGGGTCGAATTCTCAGTGGGCCACCCAATTCTGACAATGTATTTTATTCACATACTTTTTTAGGTTCCAAAAACTAAATGTAAGGGAAAAACTTTTTTCACCAGTGGCCGATCGGTCTGGCGCTGCTTTTTTATCACATTCCACTTCTGTGGGCGTGGGTTCGAATCCCACTTCTGATAATGTAATTTTATTCAGTCATTATTTTTTTAGTTTTCATAAACTAAATGTAAGGCAAAGATCTTTCATAGGTTAAGATTCCTGAGCGGTCTAAAGCGCTGCGTTCAGGTCGCAGAAAAATTCTGCAGGCGTGGTTTCGGATTCCACGTTTCACAATTATGTTTCATTCATTCATTTTTTTTTTAAGTTCTCATTAATTAAATGAAAGGAAACACACTCCCACGTGTCAAGATGGCCGAGCGGTCTAAGGCGCTGCGTTCAGGTCGCAGGTCCTTTCTGTGGGCGTGGGTTCGAATCCCACTTCTGACAATGTAAGGAAAATCTTCTCAAAATTTATTCAGTCATTTTTTTAGTTTTCAAAACTAAATGTAAGGAAAATATTCATTGGTTAGTTCTCATAGGACTAAATGTAAGGTCGAGAATAAAACGCTCTTCGATTTTTTTTAAGTTTTCATAATTAAATGATCGCCGAGCGGTCTAAGGCGCTGCAAATCGCAGTACAGTACATTTTTTTTTAGTTGCGTGAATCCAACTCCCACGTCGAGCAATTATATTTTAGTTGATTTTTTTTTTAGTTCTCATAAAGTAAATTAAAGAAAACGTTTTTACAAATTTTAGAATGGCCAAGCGGTCAAAGGCGCTGCGTTCATGTCGAAGTCCACTCGGTTTTGGCATGGGTTCGAATCCCACTTCTGATAATGTAATTTTATTGAGTCATTATTTTTTTAGTTTTCATAAACTAAATGTAAGGCAAAGATCTTTCATAGGTTAAGATTCCTGAGTGGTCTAAAGCGCTGCGTTCGAGTCGCAGAAAATTCTGCAGGCGTGGTTTCGGATTCCACGTTGGATAATTATAATTCATTCATTCATTTTTTAAGTTCTCATTAATTAAATGAAAGGAAACACTCTCTCACGTGTCAGTATGGCCGAGCGGGCTAAGGCGCTGCGTTCAGGTCGAAATCCACTTGTGTGGACGTGGGTTCGAATCCCACTTCTGACAATGTATTTCTATTCAGTCATTTTTTGAGGTTAAAGAACTAAATGCAAGGGAAAGCTATTTGCGTGTCAGGATGGCCGAGCGATTTAAGGCGCTGCAATCAGGTCGTAGTACACTTGCGTGGGCGTGAATTTGAATCCCATTCTGACAATGTATTTCTTTCAGTCATTTTTTGAGGTTAAAAAACTACATGCAAGGGAAAGCTATTTTGCGTGTCAGGATGGCCGAGCGGTCTAAGGCGCTGCGTTCACGTCGCAGTCCACTTGTGTGGGCGTGGGTTTGAATCCCACTTCTGACCATGTATTTCTTTCAGTCATTTTTTGAGGTTAAAAACTAAATGCAAGGGAAAGCTCTTTTGCATGTCAGGATGGCCGATCGGTCTAAGGCGCTGCGTTTTGATCACATTCCTCTTCTGTGGCGTGGTTTCGAATCCCACGTTTGAGAATATATTTTATTGAGTCATTTTTTTTTTTTTAGTTCTCATAACTTAAATGTAAAGGAAACACTGTTCTCGCACATGTCAGGATGGCCGAGTGGTCTAAGGCGCTGCGTTCAGGTCGCAGTCCACTTTTGTGGGCGTGGGTCGAATCCCACTACTGACAATGTAATTTATTCAGTCATTTTTTGAGGTTAAAGAACTAAATGCAAGGGAAAGCTATTTTGCGTGTCAGGATGGCCGAGCGGTTTAAGGCGCTGCAATCAGGTCGCAGTCCACTTGCGTGGGCATTGGTTCGAATCCCACTTCTGACAATGTATTTGTTTCAGTCATTTTTTGAGGTTAAAAACTTTATGCAAGGGAAACCTATTTTGGCAGGATGGCCGAGCGATCTGAGGCGCTGCGTTCAGGTCGCAGTCCACTTCTGTGGGCGTGGGTTCGAATGACAATAAAAATTTTTCAGTCATTTTTTTTAGTTCTCATAACTTAAATGCAAGGAAACGCTTTTTTGCACGTTTCAGGATCGCCGAGCGGTCTAAGGCGCTGCAATCAGGTCGCAGTCCACTTGCGTGTTCGGGGTCCAAATCCCACATCCAGCAATTATATTTTTTTTGAGTTATTTTTTTAGTTCTCATAAAGTAAATTAAAGGAAACGTTTCTCAAATTTCAGGCTGGCCAAGCGGTCAAAGCTGTGCTGCGTTCATGTCGAAGTCCACTCGGTTTTGGCGTGGGTTCAAACCCACTTCTGATAATGTAATTTTATTGAGTCATTATTTTTTTAGTTTTCATAAACTAAATGTAAGGCAAACATCTTTCATTGGTTAAGATTCCTGAGTGGTCTAAAGCGCTGCGTTCAGGTCGCAGTAAAATTCTGCAGGCATTGTTTCGGATTTCACGTTTGACAATTATTTTTCATTCATTCATTTTTAAGTTCTCATTAATTAAATGAAAGGAAACACTCTCCCACGTGTCAGGATGGCCGAGCGGTCTAAGGCGCTGCGTTCAGGTCGCAGTCCACTTCTGTGGGCGTGGGTTCGAATCCCACTTCTGACAATAAAATTTTATTCACATTTTTTGAGGTTCCAAAAACTAAATGTAAGGGAAAAATCTTTCACATGTCAGGATGGCCGATCGGTTAAGGCGCTGCAATTTGATCACATTCCACTTCTGTGGGCGCGGGTTCGAATCCACTTCTGATAATGTAATTTTTTGAGTCATTTTTTTAATTTTCAAAACTAAATGTAAGGCAAAGCTGTTTTGCGTTAAGATTCCTGAGCGGTCTAAAGCGCTGCGTTCAGGTCTCAGTCCATTCTGCAGGCGTGGGTTCGATTCCACATTTGACAATAAAATTTTATTCATTCATTTTTTTTTAGTTCTCATAATTAAATGAAAGGAAACGCTCTCCCACGTGTCAGGCTGGCCGAGCGGTCTAAGGCGCTGCAATCAGGTCGCAGTCCAGTTGCGTGGGCGTGGGTTCCAAATCCCACGTCGACAATTATATTTATTCAGTTATTTTTTTAGTTTCAAAAAACTAAATTAAAGGGAAAAATCGTTTTCAAATTTCAGGATGGCCGAGCGGTCTAAGGCGCTGCGTTCATTTTATCACAGTCCACTTTTTGGCGTGGGTTCGAATCCCACTTCAGATAATGTAATTTTTTCAGTCATTTTTTTTTAGTTTTCATAAACTAAATGTAAGGCAAAGATCTTTCATAGGTTAAGATTCCTGAGTGGTCTAAAGCGCAGCGTTCAGGTCGCAGAAAATTCTGCAGGCGTTGTTTCGGTTTTTCACGTTTGACAATTATATTTCATTCATTCATTTTTTAAGTTCTCATTTATTAAATGAAAGGTAACACTCTTCAAGAAGTTTCGGATGGTTCTGTGGGCGTGGGTTCGAATCCCACTTCTGACAATAAAAATTTATTCAGTCATTTTTTTAGTTCTCATAACTTAAATGGCGCTGCGTTCCAGGCGTGTTCGGGGGTCCACAAATCCCACGTCGAGCAATTATATTTAGTTGAGGCGTGGGTTTTTTAGTTTTCACTTCTGACAATTAAATTTCTTTCAGGCTGGCCAAGCGGTCATTTTTGTCGAAAAAAATCCCACTATAATGCAAGGGAAAGCTTTTTTGCGTTTCAGGATGGCAAAGCGGTTTAAGGCGCTGCGTTTAGGTCCCCTTCCAATTCTGTGGGCGTGGTTCGAATCCCACTTTGACAATAGAATTTTATTCAGTCATTTTTTAGTTCTCATTAACTAAATGTAAGGAAACGCTCTCGCACGTGTCAGGATCGCCGAGCGGTCTAAGGCGCTGCAATCAGGTCGCAGTACACTTGCGTGTTCGGGGGTCCAACTCCACGTCGAGCAATTATATTTAGTTATTTTTTTTAGTTCTCATAAAGTAAATTAAAGGTAACGTTTTCACAAATTTCAGAATGGCCAAGCGGTCAAAGGCGCTGCGTTCATGTCGAAGTCCAGTCCGGTTTTGGCGAGGGTTCGAATCCCACTTCTGATCATGTAATTTTATTGAGTCATTAATTTTTTTTTTAGTTTTCTTAAACTAAATGTAAGGCAAAAAGATCTTTCATAGGTTAAGATTTCTGAGTGGTCTAAAGCGCTGCATTCAGTTCGCAGTAAAATTCTGCAGGCATTGTTTCGGATTTCACGTTTGACAATTATATTTCATTCATTCATTTTTTAAGTTCTCATTAATTAAATGAAAGGTAACACTCTCCCACGTGTCAGGATGGCCGAGCGGTCTAAGGCGCTGCGTTCAGGTCGCAGTCCACTTGTGTGGGCGTGGGTTCGAATCCCACTTTGACAATGCATTTCTATTCAGTCATTATTAGAGGTTAATGAACTAAATGCAAGGGAAAGCTATTTTGCGTGTCAGGATGGACGAGCGGTTTAAGGCGCTGCAATCAGGTCGTAGTCCACTTGCGTGGGCGTTGGTTCGAATCCCATTCCTGACAATGTATTTCTTTCAGTTATTTTTTGAGGTTAAAAACTTTATGCAAGGGAGAGCTATTTTGCGTGTCAGGATGGCCGAGCGGTCTAAGGCGCTGCGTTCAGGTCGCAGTCCACTTCTGTGGGCGTGGGTTCAAATCCCACTTCTGACAATAAAAATTCATTCAGTCATTTTTTTTTAGTTCTCATAATTTAAATGTAAGGAAACGCTCTCGCACGTGTCAGGATCGCCGAGCGGTCTAAGGTGCTGCAATCAGGTCGCAGTCCACTTGCGTGTTCGGGGGTCCAAATCCCACATCCAGCAATTATATTTAGTTGAGTTATTTTTTTAGTTCTCATAAAGTAAATTAAAGGAAACGGTTTCTCAAATTTCAGGCTGGCCAAGCAGTCAAAGGTGCTGCGTTCATGTCGAAGTCCACTCGGTTTTGGCGTGGGTTCGAATCCCACTACTGATAATGTAATTTTATTGAGTCATTATTTTTTTTAGTTTTCATAAACTAAATGTAAGGCAAAGATCTTTCATAGGTTAAGATTCCTGAGTGGTCTAAAGCGCTGCGTTCGAGTCGCAGAAAAATTCTGCAGGCGTGGTTTCGGATTCCACGTTTGAGAATTATATTTCATTCATTCATTTTTTAAGTTCTCATTAATTAAATGAAAGGTAACACTCTCCCACGTGTCAGGATGGCCGAGTGCTCTAAAGCTCTGCGTTCAGGTCGCAGTCCACTTGTGTGGACGTGGATCGAATCCCACTTTTGACAATGTATTTCTATTCAGTCATTTTTTGAGGTTAAAGAACTAAATGCAAGGGATAGCTATTTTGCGTGTCAGGATGGACGAGCGGTTTAAGGCGCTACAATCAGGTCGTAGTCCACTTGCGTGGGCATTGGTTCGAATCCCACTTCTGACAATGTATTTCTTTCAGTCATTTTTTGAGGTTAAAAAACTTTATGCAAGGGAAACCTATTTTGGGTGTCAGGATGGCCGAGCGATCTGAGGCGCTGCGTTCAGGTCGCAGTCCACTTCTGTGGGCGTGGGTTCGAATCCCACTTCTGACAATAAAAATTTTTTCAGTCATTTTTTTTAGTTCTCATAACTTAAATGCAAGGAAACGCTCTCGCACGTTTCAGGATCGCCGAGCGGTCTAAGGCGCTGCAATCAGGTCGCAGTCCACTTGCGTGTTCGGGGGTCCAAATCCCACGTCGAGCAATTATATTTATTTGAGTTATTTTTTTTAATTCTCATAAAGTAAATTAAAGGAAACGTTTCTCAAATTTCAGGCTGGCCAAGCGGTCAAAGCTGCTGCGTTCATGTCGAAGTCCACTCGGTTTTGGCGTGGGTTCGAATCCCTCTTCTGATAATGTAATTTTATTATGTCATTATTTTTTTTAGTTTTCATAAACTAAATGTAAGGCAAACATCTTTCATTGGTTAAGATTCCTGAGTGGTCTAAAGCGCTGCGTTCAGGTCGCAGTAAAATTCTGCAGACGTTGTTTCGGATTTCACGTTTGACAATTATTTTTCATTCATTCATTATTTAAGTTATCATTAATTAAATGAAAGGAAACACTCTCCAACGTGTCAGGATGGCCGAGCGGTCTAAGGCGCTGCTTTCAGGTCGCAGTCCACTTCTGTGGGCGTGGGTTCGAATCCCACTTCTGACAATAAAATTTTATTCACATACTTTTCTTAGGTTCCAAAACTAAATGTAAGGGAAAATCTTTCACCTGTCAGGATGGCCGAGCGGTCTAAGGCGCTGCGTTTTGATCACATTCCACTTCTGTGGGCGCGGGTTCGAAACCCACTTCGGATAATGTAATTTTATTGCGTCATTACTTTTTTAATTTTCATAAACTAAATGTAAGGCAAAGATCTCTCATAGATTAAGATTCCTGAGTGGTCTAAAGCGCTGCGTTCAGGTCTCAGTAAAATTCTGCAGGCGTGGTTTCGGATTCCACATTTGACAATTATATTTCATTCATTCATTTTTTAAGTTCTCATTAATTAAATGAAAGGAAACACTCTCCCACGTGTCAGGATGGCCGAGCGGTCTAAGGCGCTGCGTTCAGGTCGCAGTCCACTTCTGTGGGCGTGGGTTCGAATCCCTCTTCTGACAATAAAATTTTATTCACATACTTTTCTTAGGTTCGAAAAACTAAATGTAAGGGAAAAATCTTTCTCATGTCAGGATGGCCGATCGGTCTAAGGCGCTGCTTTTTTATCACATACCACTTCTGTGGGCGTGGGTTCGAATCCCTCTTTTGATAATGTAATTTTATTCAGTCATTATTTTTTTAGTTTTCATAAACTAAATGTAAGGCAAAGATCTTTCATAGGTTAAGATTCCTGAGCGGTCTAAAGCGCTGCGTTCAGGTCGCAGAAAAATTCTGCAGGCGTGGTTTCGGATTCCACGTTTCACAATTATATTTCATTCATTCATTTTTTAAGTTCTCATTAATTAAATGAAAGGAAACACACTCCCACGTGTCAAGATGGCCGAGCGGTCTAAGGCGCTGCGTTCAGGTCGCAGTCCGTTCTGTGGGCGTGGGTTCGAATCCCACTTCTGACAATAAAAATTTATTCATTCATTTTTTAAGTTCTCATAACTTAAATGTAAGGAAACGCTCTCGCACGTGTCAGGATTGCCGAGTGGTCTAAGGCGCTGCAATCAGGTCGCAGTCCAGTTGCGTGTTCGGGGGTCCACAAATCCCACGTCGAGCAATTATATTTAGTTGAGTTATTTTTTTTTAGTTTTCATAAAGTAAATTAAAGAAAAAGATTTCTCAAATTTCAGGCTGGCCAAGCGGTCAAAGGTGCTGCGTTCATGTCGAAGTCCTCTGGGTTTGGCGTGGGTTCGAATCCCACTTCTGATAATGTAATTTTATTAAGTCATTATTTTTTTAGTTTTCATAAACTAAATGTAAGGCAAAGATCTTTCATAGGTTAAGATTCCTGAGTGGTCTAAAGCGCTGCGTTCGAGTCGCAGAAAATCTCTGCAGGCGTGGTTTCGTATTCCACTTTGAGAATTATATTTCATTCATTCATTTTTTAAGTTCTCATTAATTAAATGAAAGGTAACACTCTCCCACGTGTCAGGATGGCCGAGCGGTCTAAGGCGCTGCGTTCAGGTCACAGTCCACTTGTGTGGACGTGGATCGAATCCCACTTTTGACAATGTATTTCTATTCAGTCATTTTTTGAGGTTAAAGAACTAAATGCAAGGGATAGCTATTTTGCGTGTCAGGATGGCCGAGCGGTTTAAGGCGCTGCAATCAGGTCGTAGTACACTTGCGTGGGCGTGAATTTGAATCTCACTTCTGACAATGTATTTTTTCAGTCATTTTTAGAGGTTAAAAAACTACATGCAAGGGAGAGCTGTTTTGCGTGTCAGGATGGCCGAGCGGTCTAAGGCGCTGCGTTCAAGTCGCAGTCCACTATGTGTGGGCGTGGGTTTGAATCCCACTTCTGACAATGTATTTCTATTCAGTCATTTTTTGAGGTTAAAGAACTAAATGCAAGGGAAAGCTATTTTGCGTGTCAGGATGGCCGAGCGGTCTAATTCGCTGCGTTCAGGTCGCAGTCCACTTCTGTGGGCGTGGGTTCGAATCCCACTTCTGACAATAAAATATTATTCACATACTTTTCTTAGGTTCCAAAAACTAAATGTAAGGTAAAACACTTTCACATGTCAGGATGGCCGATCGGTCTAAGGCACAGCGTTTTGATCACATTCCACTTCTGTGGGCGTGGGTTCGAATCCCACTTCTGATAATGTAATTTTATTGAGTCATTACTTTTTTTAGTTTTCATAAACTAAATGTAAGGCAAAGATCTTTCATAGGTTAAGATTCCTGAGTGGTCTAAAGCGCTGCGTTCGAGTCGCAGAAAAATTCTGCAGGCGTGGTTTCGGATTCCACGTTTCACAATTATATTTCATTCATTCATTTTTTAAGTTCTCATTAATTAAATGAAAGGAAACACACTCCCACGTGTCAAGATGGCCGAGCGGTCTAAGGCGCTGTGTTCAGGTCGCAGTCCGTTCTGTGGGCGTGGGTTCGAATCCCACTTCTGACAATAAAAATTTATTCAGTCATTTTTTTTTAGTTCTCATAACTTAAATGTAAGGAAATGCTCTCGCACGTGTCAGGATCGCCGAGCGGTCTAAGGCGCTGCAATCAGGTCGCAGTACACTTGCGTGTTCGGGGATCCAACTCCCACGTCGAGCAATTATATTTAGTTGAGTTATTTTTTTTAGTTCTCATAAAGTAAATTAAAGAAAACATTTTTTCATAATTCAGAATGGCCAAGCGGTCAAAGGCGCTGCGTTCATGTCGAAGTCCACTCGGTTTTGGCGTGGGTTCGAATCCCACTTCTGATAATGTAATTTTATTGAGTCATTATTTTTTTAGTTTTCATAAACTAAATGTAAGGCAAAGATCTTTCATAGGTTAAGATTCCTGAGCGGTCTAAAGCGCTGCGTTCGAGTCGCAGAAAAATTCTGCAGGCGTGGTTTCGGATTCCACGTTTGAGAATTATATTTCATTCATTCATTTTTTAAGTTCTCATTAATTAAATGAAAGGTAACACTCTCCCACGTGTCAGGATGGCCGAGCGGTCTAAGGCGCTGCGTTCAGGTCGCAGTCCACTTGTGTGGACGTGGATCGAATCCCACTTTTGACAATGTATTTTTATTCAGTCATTTTCTGAGGTTAAAGAACTAAATGCAAGGGATAGCTATTTTGCGTGTCAGGATGGCCGAGCGGTTTAAGGCGCTGCAATCAGGTCGTAGTACACTTGCGTGGGCGTGAATTTGAATCTCACTTCTGACAATGTATTTTTTTCAGTCATTTTTAGAGGTTAAAAAACTACATGCAAGGGAAAGCTGTTTTGCGTGTCAGGATGGCCGATCGGTCTAAGGCGCTGCGTTTTGATCACATTCCACTTCTGTGGGCGTGGGTTCGAATCCTACTTCTGATAATGTAATTTTATTGAGTCATTACTTTTTTAGTTTTCATAAACTAAATGTAAGGCAAAGATCTTTCATAGGTTAAGATTCCTGAGTGGTCTAAAGCGCTGCGTTCGAGTCGCAGAAAAATGCTGCAGGCGTGGTTTCGGATTCCACGTTTGAGAATTATATTTCATTCATTCATTTTTTAAGTTCTCATTAATTAAATGAAAGGTAACACTCTCCCACGTGTCAGTATGGCCGAGCGGTCTAAGGCGCTGCGTTCAGGTCGCAGTCCACTTCTGTGGGCGTGGGTTCGAATCCCACTTCTGACAATATAAATTTTATTCACATACATTTTTAGGTTCCAAAAACTAAATGTAAGGGAAAAATCTTTCACATGTCAGGATGGCCGATCGGTCTAAGGCGCTGCGTTTTGATCACATTCCACTTCTGTGGGCGCGGGTTCGAAACCCACTTCGGATAATGTAATTTTATTGAGTCATTACTTTTTTAATTTTCATAAACTAAATGTAAGGCAAAGATCTCTCATAGATTAAGATTCCTGAGTGGTCTAAAGCGCTGCGTTCAGGTCTCAGTAAAATTCTGCAGGCGTGGTTTCGATTCCACATTTGACAATTATATTTCATTCATTCATTTTTTAAGTTCTCATTAATTAAATGAAAGGAAACACTCTCCCACGTGTCAGGATGGCCGAGCGGTTAAGGCGCTGCGTTCAGGTCGCAGTCCACTTCTGTGGGCGTGGGTTCGAATCCCACTTCTGACAATAAAATTTTATTCACATACTTTTCTTAGGTTCGAAAAACTTAATGTAAGGAAAAATCTTTCTCATGTCAGGATGGCCGATCGGTCTAAGGCGCTGCTTTTTTATCACATACCACTTCTGTGGGCGTGGGTTCGAATCCCTCTTTTGATAATGTAATTTTATTCAGTCATTATTTTTTGTTTTCATAAACTAAATGTCAGGCAAAGATCTTTCATAGGTTAAGATTCCTGAGCGGTCTAAAGCGCTGCGTTCAGGTCGCAGAAAAATTCTGCAGGCGTGGTTTCGGATTCCACGTTTCACAATTATATTTCATTCATTCATTTTTTAAGTTCTCATTAATTAAATGAAAGGAAACACACTCACATGTGTCAAGATGGCCGAGCGGTCTAAGGCGCTGCGTTCAGGTCGCAGTCCGTTCTGTGGGCGTGGGTTCGAATCCCACTTCTGACAATAAAAATTTATTCAGTCATTTTTTTTTAGTTCTCATAACTTAAATGTAAGGAAACGCTCTCGCACGTGTCAGGATTGCCGAGTGGTCTAAGGCGCTGCAATCAGGTCGCAGTCCAGTTGCGTGTTCGGGGTCCACAATCCCACGTCGAGCAATTATATTTAGTTGAGTTATTTTTTTTTTAGTTTTCATAAAGTAAATTAAAGAAAAAGATTTCTCAAATTTCAGGCTGGCCAAGCGGTCAAAGGCGCTGCGTTCAAGTCGCAGTCCACTTCTGGTTTGGCGTGGGTTCGAATCCCACTTCTGATAATGTAATTTTATTAAGTCATTATTTTTTTAGTTTTCATAAACTAAATGTAAGGCAAAGATCTTTCATAGGTTAAGATTCCTGAGTGGTCTAAAGCGCTGCGTTCGAGTCGCAGAAAATCTCTGCTGGCGTGGTTTCGTATTCCACTTTGAGAATTATATTTCATTCATTCATTTTTAAGTTCTCATTAATTAAATGAAAGGTAACACTCTCCCACGTGTCAGGATGGCCGAGCATTCTAAGGCGCTGCGTTCAGGTCGCAGTCCACTTGTGTGGACGTGGATCGAATCCCACTTTTTGACAATGTATTTCTATTCAGTCATTTTTTGAGGTTAAAGAACTAAATGCAAGGGATAGCTATTTTGCGTGTCAGGATGGCCGAGCGGTATAAGGCGCTGCAATCAGGTCGTAGTACACTTTGCGTGGGCGTGAATTTGAATCTCACTTCTGACAATGTATTTTTTCAGTCATTTTTAGAGGTTAAAAAACTACATGCAAGGAAACTGTTTTCGTGTCAGGATGGCCGAGCGGTCTAAGGCGCTGCGTTCAAGTCGCAGTCCACTATGTGTGGGCGTGGGTTTGAATCCCACTTCTGATAATGTAATTTTAATGAGTCATTACTTTTTTTAGTTTTCATAAACTAAATGTAAGGCAAAGATCTTTCATAGGTTAAGATTCCTGAGTGGTCTAAAGCGCTGCGTTCAGTCGCAGAAAAATTCTGCAGGCGTGGTTTCGGATTCCACGTTTGAGAATTATATTTCATTCATTCATTTTTTAAGTTCTCATTAATTAAATGAAAGGTAACACTCTCCCACGTGTCAGGATGGCCGAGTGCTCTAAAGCTCTGCGTTCAGGTCGCAGTCCACTTGTGTGGACGTGGATCGAATCCCACTTTTGACAATGTATTTTATTCAGTCATTTTTTGAGGTTAAAGAACTAAATGCAAGGGATAGCTATTTTGCGTGTCAGGATGGACGAGCGGTTTAAGGCGCTACAATCAGGTCGTAGTCCACTTGCGTGGGCATCGGTTCGAATCCCACTTGACAATGTATTTCTTTCAGTCATTTTTGAGGTTAAAAAACTTTATGCAAGGGAAACCTATTTTGGGTGTCAGGATGGCCGAGCGATCTGAGGCGCTGCGTTCAGGTCGCAGTCCACTTCTGTGGGCGTGGGTTCGAATCCCACTTCTGAGAATAAAAATTTTTCAGTCATTTTTTTTTAGTTCTCATAACTTAAATGCAAGGAAACGCTCTCGCACGTTTCAGGATCGCCGAGCGGTCTAAGGCGCTGCAATCAGGTCGCAGTCCACTTGCGTGTTCGGGGGTCCAAATCCCACGTCGAGCAATTATATTTATTTGAGTTATTTTTTTTAATTCTCATAAAGTAAATTAAAGGAAACGTTTCTCAAATTTCAGGCTGGCCAAGCGGTCAAAGCTGCTGCGTTCATGTCGAAGTCCACTCGGTTTTGGCGTGGGTTGGAATCCCTCTTCTGATAATGTAATTTTATTATGTCATTATTTTTTTAGTTTTCATAAACTAAATGTAATCAAACATCTTTCATTGGTTAAGATTCCTGAGTGGTCTAAAGCGCTGCGTTCAGGTCGCAGTAAAATTCTGCAGACGTTGTTTCGGATTTCACGTTTGACAATTATATTTCATTCATTCATTTTTTAAGTTCTCATTAATTAAATGAAAGGAAACACTCTCCCACGTGTCAGGATGGCCGAGCGGTCTAAGGCGCTGCGTTCAGGTCGCAGTCCACTTCTGTGGGCGTGGGTTCGAATCCCTCTTCTGACAATAAAATTTTATTCACATACTTTTCTTAGGTTCGAAAAACTAAATGTAAGGGAAAAATCTTTCTCATGTCAGGATGGCCGATCGGTCTAAGGCGCTGTTTTTTATCACATACCATTTCTGTGGGCGTGGGTTTTTTGATAATGTAATTTTATTCAGTCATTATTTTTTTAGTTTTCATAAACTAAATGTAAAAGCTCTTTCATAGGTTAAGATTCCTGAGCGGTCTAAAGCGCTGGCAATCAGGTCGCAGAAAAATTCTGCAGGCGTGGTTTCGGATTCCACGTTTCACAATTATATTTCATTCATTCATTTTTTAAGTTCTCATTAATTAAATGAAAGGAAACACACTCCCACGTGTCAAGATGGCCGAGCGGTCTAAGGCGCTGCGTTCAGGTCGCAGTCCGTTCTGTGGGCGTGGGTTCGAATCCCACTTCTGACAATAAAAATTTATTCAGTCATTTTTTTTTTTAGTTCTCATAACTTAAATGTAAGGAAACGCTCTCGCACGTGTCAGGATTGCCGAGTGGTTCAAGGCGCTGCAATCAGGTCGCAGTCCAGTTGCGTGTTCGTCCAAATCCCACATCGAGCAATTATATTTAGTTGAGTTATTTTTTTAGTTTTCATAAAGTAAATTAAAGAAAAAAGATTTCTCAAATTTCAGGCTGGCCAAGCGGTCAAAGGTGCTGCGTTCATGTCGAAGTCCTCTGGGTTTGGCGTGGGTTCGAATCCCACTTCTGATAATGTAATTTTATTAAGTCATTATTTTTTTAGTTTTCATAAACTAAATGTAAGGCAAAGATCTTTCATAGGTTAAGATTCCTGAGTGGTCTAAAGCGCTGCGTTCGAGTCGCAGAAAATCTCTGCAGGCGTGGTTTCGTATTCCACTTTGAGAATTATATTTCATTCATTCATTTTTAAGTTCTCATTAATTAAATGAAAGGTAACACTCTCCCACGTTTCAGGATGGCCGAGCGGTCTAAGGCGCTGCGTTCAGGTCACAGTCCACTTGTGTGGCGTGGGTTTGAATCCCACTTTTGACAATGTATTTTCTATTCAGTCATTTTTTGAGGTTAAAGAACTAAATGCAAGGGATAGCTATTTGCGTGTCAGGATGGCCGAGCGGTTTAAGGCGCTGCAATCAGGTCGTAGTCCACTTGCGTGGGCGTGAATTTGAATCTCACTTCTGACAATGTATTTTTTTCAGTCATTTTTTGAGGTTAAAAAACTACATGCAAGGGAGAGCTGTTTTGCGTGTCAGGATGGCCGAGCGGTCTAAGGCGCTGCGTTCAAGTCGCAGTCCACTATGTGTGGGCGTGGGTTTGAACCCCACTTCTGACAATGTATTTCTATTCAGTCATTTTTTGAGGTTAAAGAACTAAATGCAAGGGAAAGCTGTTTTGCGTGTCAGGATGGCCGATCGGTCTAAGGCGCTGCGTTTTGATCACATTCCACTTCTGTGGGCGTGGGTTCGAATCCTACTCTGATAATGTAATTTTATTGAGTCATTACTTTTTAGTTTTCATAAACTAAATGTAAGGCAAAGATCTTTCATAGGTTAAGATTCCTGAGTGGTCTAAAGCGCTGCGTTCGAGTCGCAGAAAAATGCTGCAGGCGTGGTTTCGGATTCCACGTTTGAGAATTATATTTCATTCATTCATTTTTAAGTTCTCATTAATTAAATGAAAGGTAACACTCTCCCACGTGTCAGTATGGCCGAGCGGTCTAAGGCGCTGCGTTCAGGTCGCAGTCCACTTCTGTGGGCGTGGGTTCGAATCCCACTTCTGACAATAAAATTTTATTCACATACTTTTCTTAGGTTCCAAAAACTAAATGTAAGGGAAAACTCTTTTACATGTCAGGATGGCCGATCGGTCTAAGGCGCTGCGTTTTGATCACATTTCACTTCTGTGGGCGTCGGTTCGAATCCTACTTCTGATAATGTAATTTTATTCAGTCATTTTTTTTTAGTTTTCATAAACTAAATGTAAGGCAAAGATCTTTCATAGGTTAATATTCCTGAGCGGTCTAAAGCGCTGCGTTAAGGTCGCAGAAAAATTTTGCAGGCGTGGTTTCGGATTCCACGTTTGACAATTATATTTCATTCATTCATTTTTTAAGTTCTCATTAATTAAATAAAAGGAAACACACTCCCACGTGTCAAGATGGCCGAGCGGTCTAAGGCGCTGTGTTCAGGTCGCAGTCCGTTCTGTGGGCGTGGGTTCGAATCCCACTTCTGATAATGTAATTTTATTGAGTCATTATTTTTTTAGTTTTCATAAACTAAATGTAAGGCAAAGATCTTTCATAGGTTAAGATTCCTGAGTGGTCTAAAGCGCTGCGTTCGAGTCGCAGAAAAATTCTGCAGGCGTGGTTTCGGATTCCACGTTTGAGAATTATATTTCATTCATTCATTTTTTAAGTTCTCATTAATTAAATGAAAGGTAACACTCTCCCACGTGTCAGGATGGCTGAGCGGTCTAAGGCGCTGCGTTCAAGTCGCAGTCCACTTGTGTGGACGTGGATCGAATCCTACTTTTGACAATGTATTTCTATTCAGTCATTTTCTGAGGTTAAAGAACTAAATGCAAGGGATAGCTATTTTGCGTGTCAGGATGGCCGAGCGGTTTAAGGCGCTGCAATCAGGTCGTAGTACACTTGCGTGGGCTTGAATTTGAATCTCACTTCTGACAATGTATTTTTTCAGTCATTTTTAGAGGTTAAAAAACTACATGCAAGGGAAAGCTGTTTTGCGTGTCAGGATGGCCGAGCGGTCTAAGGCACTGCGTTCAAGTCGCAGTCCACTCTGTGTGGGCGTGGGTTTGAATCCCACTTCTGACAATGTATTTCTATTCAGTCATTTTTTGAGGTTAAAGAACTAAATGCAAGGGAAAGCTATTTTGCGTGTCAGGATGGCCGAGCGGTCTAATTCGCTGCGTTCAGGTCGCAGTTCACTTCTGTGGGCGTGGGTTCGAATCCCACTTCTGACAATAAAATTTTATTCATACTTTTCTTAGGTTCCAAAAACTAAATGTAAGGTAAAACACTTTCACATGTCAGGATGGCCGATCGGTCTAAGGCGCTGCGTTTTGATCACATTCCACTTCTGTGGGCGTGGGTTCGAATCCCACTTCTGATAATGTAATTTTATTGAGTCATTACTTTTTTTAGTTTTCATAAACTAAATGTAAGGCAAAGATCTTTCATAGGTTAAGATTCCTGAGTGGTCTAAAGCGCTTCGTTCGAGTCGCAGAAAAATGCTGCAGGCGTGGTTTCGGATTCCACGTTTGAGAATTATATTTCATTCATTCATTTTTTAAGTTCTCATTAATTAAATGAAAGGTAACACTCTCCCACGTGTCAGTATGGCTGAGCGGTCTAAGGCGCTGCGTTCAGGTCGCAGTCCACTTCTGTGGGCGTGGGTTCGAATCCCACTTCTGACAATAAAATTTTATTCACATACTTTTCTTAGGTTCCAAAACTAAATGTAAGGTAAAACTCTTTCACATGTCAGGATGGCCGATCGGTCTAAGGCGCTGCGTTTAGATCACCTTCTAATTCTGTGGGCGTGGGTTCGAATCTCACTTCTGACAATAGAATTTTATTCAGTTATTTTTTTTAGTTCTCATAACTTAAATGTAAGGAAACGCTCTCGCACGTGTCAGGATCGCCGAGCGGTCTAAGGCGCTGCAATCAGGTCACAGTCCAGTTGCGTGTTCGGGGTCCACACAAATCCCACGTCGAGCAATTATATTTAGTTGAGTTATTTTTTTTAGTTTTCATAAAGTAAATTAAAGGAAAAGTTTTCTCATCTTTCAGGCTGGCCAAGTGGTCAAAGGTTCTGCGTTCATGTCGAAGTCCACTCGGTTTTGGGGCGTGGGTTTGAATCCCACTTCTGATAATGTAATTTTATTGAGTCATTATTTTTTTAGTTTTCATAAGCTAAATGTAAGGCAAAGATCTTTCATAGGTTAAGATTCCTGAGTGGTCTAATGCGCTGCATTCAGTTCGCAGTAAAATTCTGCAGGCGTGGTTTCGGATTTCACGTTTGACAATTATATTTCAATCATTCATTTCTTAAGTTCTCATTAATTAAATAAAGGAAACACACTCCCACGTGTCAAGATGGCCGAGCGGTCTAAGGCGCTGCGTTCAGGTCGCAGTCCGTTCTGGGGGCGTGGGTTCGAATCCCACTTCTGACAATAAAAATTTATTCAGTCATTTTTTTAGTTCTCATAACTTAAATGTAAGGAAACGCTCTCGCACGTGTCAGGATCGCCGAGCGGTCTAAGGCGCTGCAATCAGGTCACAGTCCAGTTGCGTGTTCGGGGTCCACACAAATCCCACGTCGAGCAATTATATTTAGTTGAGTTATTTTTTTTAGTTTTCATAAAGTAAATTAAAGGAAAAGTTTTCTCATCTTTCAGGCTGGCCAAGTGGTCAAAGGTTCTGCGTTCATGTCGAAGTCCACTCGGTTTTGGGGCGTGGGTTCGAATCCCACTTCTGATAATGTAATTTTATTGAGTCATTATTTTTTTAGTTTTCATAAACTAAATTTAAGGCAAAGATCTTTTATAGGTTAAGATTCCTGAGTGGTCTAAAGCGCTGCGTTCGAGTCGCAGAAAAATGCTGCAGGCGTGGTTTCGGATTCCACGTTTGAGAATTATATTTCATTCATTCATTTTTTAAGTTCTCATTAATAAAATGAAAGGAAACCCTCTCTCACGTGTCAGTATGGCCGAGCGGTCTAAAGCGCTGCGTTCAGGTCGCAGTCCACTTCCGTTGGCGTGGGTTCGAATCCCACTTCTGAAAATAAAATTTTATTCACATACTTTTCTTAGGTTCCAAAAACTAAATGTAAGGGAAAACTTTTTCACATGTCAGGATGGTCGATCGGTCTAAAGCGCTGCTTTTAGATCACATTCCACTTCTGTGGGCGTAGGTTCCAATCCCACTTCTGACAATAGAATTTTATTCAGTCATTTTTTTTAGGTCTCATAACTTAAATGTAAGGAAACGTTCTCGCATGTGTCAGGATGGCCGAGCGGTGTAAGGCGCTGCAATCAGTTCGCAGTACTCTTGCGTGTTCGGGGGTCCAACTGCCACGTCGAGCAATTATGTTTAGTTAAGTAATTTTATTTAGTTCTCATAAAGTAAATTAAGGGAAACGTTTTCTTAATTTCAGGATGGCCAAGTGGTCAAAGGCGCTGCGTTCAAGTCGAATTCTACTCGGTTTTGGCGTGGGTTCGAATCCCACTTCGGATAATGTAATTTTATTCAGTAATTTTTTTTTTAGTTTTCATAAACTAAATGTAAGGGAATGATCTTTCACAGATTAAGATTCCTGAGCGATCTAAAGCTCTGCGTTTAAGTCGCAGTAAAATTCTGCAGGCGTGGTTTCGGATTCCCCAATTGACAATTATAATTCATTTATTCATTTTTTTAGTTTTCTTTAATTAAATGAAAGGAAACACTCTAATACGTGTCAGATGGTCGAGCGGTCTAAGGCGCTGCGTTCAGGTCATAGTCCTCTTGTGTGGGCGTGGGTTCGAATCCCACTTCTAACAATGTATTTCTATTCAGTCATCTTTTGAGGTTAAAGAACTAAATGCAAGGGAAAGCTATTTTTCGTGTCAGGATGGCCGAGCGGTCTAAGGCGCTGCGTTCAGGTCGCAGTCCACTTCTGTGGGCGTGGTTTCGAATCCCACTTCTGACAATAAAATTTTATTCACATACTTTTCTTAGGTTCCAAAAACTAAATGTAAGGGAAAACTCTTTCACATGTCAGGATGGCCGATCGGTGTAAGGCGCTGCGTTTTGTTCACAATCCATTTCTGTGGCCGTGGGTTCGAATCCCACTTCTGATAATGTAATTTTATTCAGTCATTATTTTTTTAGTTTTCATAAACTAAATGTAAGGCAAAGATTTTTTATAGGTTAAGATTCCTGAGTGGTCTAAAGCGCTGCGTTCGAGTCGCAGAAAAATTCTGCAGGCGTGGTTTCGGATTCCTCGTTTGACAATTATATTTCATTCATTCATTTTTTAAGTTCTCATTAATTAAATGAAAGGTAACACTCTCCCACGTGTCAGGATGGCCGAGCGGTCTAAGGCGCTGCGTTCAAGTCGCAGTCCACTTGTGTGAACGTAAATCAAATCCCACTTTTGACAATGTATTTCTATTCAGTCATTTTCTGAGGTTAAAGAACTAAATGCAAGGGATAGCTATTTTGCGTGTCAGGATGGCCGAGCGGTTTAAGGTGCTGCAATCAGGTCGTAGTACACTTGCGTGGGCTTGAATTTGAATCTCACTTCTGACAATGTATTTTTTCAGTCATTTTTAGAGGTTAAAAACTACATGCAAGGGAAAGCTGTTTTGCGTGTCAGGATGGCCGAGCGGTCTAAGGCACTGCGTTCAAGTCGCAGTCCACTCTGTGTGGGCGTGAGTTTGAATCCCTCTTCTGACAATGTATTTCTATTCAGTCATTTTTTGAGGTTAAAGAACTAAATGCAAGGGAAAGCTATTTTGCGTGTCAGGTTGGCCGAGCGGTCTAATTCGCTGCGTTCAGGTCGCAGTTCACTTCTGTGGGCGTGGGTTCGAATCCCACTTCTGACAATAAAATTTTATTCACATACTTTTCTTAGGTTCCAAAAACTAAATGTAAGGTAAAACACTTTCACATGTCAGGATGGCCGATCGGTCTAAGGCGCTGCGTTTTGATCACATTCCACTTCTGTGGGCGTGGGTTCGAATCCCACTTCTGATAATGTAATTTTATTGAGTCATTACTTTTTTAGTTTTCATAAACTAAATGTAAGGCAAAGATCTTTCATAGGTTAAGATTCCTGAGTGGTCTAAAGCGCTGCGTTCGAGTCGCAGAAAAATGCTGCAGGCGTGGTTTCGGATTCCACGTTTGAGAATTATATTTCATTCATTCATTTTTTAAGTTCTCATTAATTAAATGAAAGGTAACACTCTCCCACGTGTCAGGATGGCCGATCGGTCTAAGGCGCTGCGTTTTGATCACATTTCACTTCTGTGGGCGTCGGTTCGAATCCTACTTCTGATAATGTAATTTTATTCAGTCATTATTTTTTTAGTTTTCATAAACTAAATGTAAGGCAAAGATCTTTCATAGGTTAATATTCCTGAGCGGTCTAAAGCGCTGCGTTAATGTCGCAGAAAAATTTTGCAGGCGTGGTTTCGGATTCCACGTTTGACAATTATATTTCATTCATTCATTTTTTAAGTTCTCATTAATTAAATAAAAGGAAACACACTCCCACGTGTCAAGATGGCCGAGCGGTCTAAGGCGCTGCGTTCAGGTCGCAGTCCGTTCTGGGGGCGTGGGTTCGAAACCCACTTCTGACAATAAAAATTTATTCAGTCATTTTTTTTTTAGTTCTCATAACTTAAATGTAAGGAAACGCTCTCGCACGTGTCAGGATCGCCGAGCGGTCTAAGGCGCTGCAATCAGGTCACAGTCCAGTTGCGTGTTCGGGGGTCCACACAAATCCCACGTCGAGCAATTATATTTAGTTGAGTTATTTTTTTTAGTTTTCATAAAGTAAATTAAAGGAAAAGTTTTCTCATCTTTCAGGCTGGCCAAGTGGTCAAAGGTTCTGCGTTCATGTCGAAGTCCACTCGGTTTTGGGGCGTGGGTTCGAATCCCACTTCTGATAATGTAATTTTATTGAGTCATTATTTTTTTAGTTTTCATAAACTAAATGTAAGGCAAAGATCTTTTATAGGTTAAGATTCCTGAGTGGTCTAAAGCGCTGCGTTCAGGTCGCAGAAATATTCTGCAGGCGTTGTTTTGGATTCCATGTTTGACAATTATATTTCATTCATTCATTTTTTAAGTTCTCATTAATAAAATGAAAGGAAACCCTCTCTCACGTGTCAGTATGGCCGAGCGGTCTAAAGCGCTGCGTTCAGGTCGAAATCTATGTGTGTTGACGTGGGTTCGAAACCCACTTCTGACAATGTATTTCTATTCAGTCGTTTTTTGAGGTTAAAGAACTAAATGCAAGGGAAAGCTATTTTGCGTGTAAAGATGGCCGAGCGGTTTAAGGCGCAGCAGTCAGGTCGTAGTACACTTGCGTGGGCGTGAATTTGAATCCCACTTCTGACAATAAAATTTTATTCACATACTTTTCTTAGGTTCCAAAAACTAAATGTAAGGGAAAACTTTTTCACATGTCAGGTTGGTCGATCAGTCTAAAGCGCTGCGTTTAGATCACATTCCACTTCTGTGGGCGTAGGTTCCAATCCCACTTCTGACAATAGAATTTTATTCAGTCATTTTTTTTAGGTCTCATAACTTAAATGTAAGGAAACGTTCTCGCATGTGTCAGGATGGCCGAGCGGTGTAAGGCGCTGCAATCAGTTCGCAGTACTCTTGCGTGTTCGGGGGTCCAACTGCCACGTCGAGCAATTATGTTTAGTTAAGTAATTTTATTTAGTTCTCATAAAGTAAATTAAGGGAAACGTTTTCTTAATTTCAGGATGGCCAAGTGGTCAAAGGCGCTGCGTTCAAGTCGAATTCTACTCGGTTTTGGCGTGGGTTCGAATCCCACTTCGGATAATGTAATTTTATTCAGTAATTTTTTTTTTTAGTTTTCATAAACTAAATGTAAGGGAATGATCTTTAACAGATTAAGATTCCTGAGTGATCTAAAGCTCTGCGTTTAAGTCGCAGTAAAATTCTGCAGGCGTGGTTTCGGATTCCACGATTGACAATTATAATTCATTTATTCATTTTTTTAGTTTTCATTAATTAAATGAAAGGAAACACTCTAACACGTGTCAGATGGTCGAGCGGTCTAAGGCGCTGCGTTCAGGTCATAGTCCTCTTGTGTGGGCGTGGGTTCGAATCCCACTTCTAACAATGTATTTCTATTCAGTCATCTTTTGAGGTTAAAGAACTAAATGTTAGGGAAAGCTCTTTTAAGTGTCAGAATGGCAGAGCGGTCTAAGGCGCTGCGTTTAGATCGCATTCCACTTCTGTGGGCGTGGGTTCGAATTCCACTTCTGACAATAAAATTTTATTGAGTCATTTTTTTTAGTTCTCATAACTTAAATGTAAGGAAACGCTCTCGCACGTGTCAGGATGGACGAGTGGTCTAAGGCGCTGCAATCAGGTCGCAGACCACTTGCGTGTTCGGTGTCCAAATCCTACGTCGAGCAATTATATTTAGTTGAGTTATTTTTTTTAGTTCTCATAAAGTAAATTAAAAGGAAAGGTTTTCTCAAACTTCAGGATGGCCAAGCGGTCAAAGGCGCTGCGTTCATGTCGAATTCCACTCGGTTTTGGCGTGGGTTCAAATCCCACTTTTGACAATGTATTTCTATTGTCATTTTTTGAGGTTAAAGAACTAAATGCAAGGGAAAGATATTTTGCGTGTCAGGATGGCCGAGCGGTCTAAGGCGCTGCGTTCAGGTCGCAGTCCACTTCTGTGGGCGTGGGTTCGAATCCCACTTCTGACAATAAACTTTTATTCACATACTTTTCTTAGGTTCCAAAAACTAAATGTAAGGGAAAACTCTTTCACATGTCAGGATGGCCGATCGGTGTAAGGCGCTGCGTTTTGTTCACAATCTATTTCTGTGGCCTTGGGTTCGAATCCCACTTCTGATAATGTAATTTTATTCAGTCATTATTTTTTTAGTTTTCATAAACTAAATGTAAGGCAAAGATCTTTCATAGGTTAAGATTCCTGAGCGGTCTAAAGCGCTGCGTTTAGGTCGCAGTAAAATTCTGCAGGCGTGGTTTCGGATTCCACGTTTGACAATTATATTTCATTCATTCATTTTTTTAAGTTCTCATTAATTAAATGAAAGGAAACATTCTCCCATGTGTCAAGATGGCCGAGCGGTTTAGGGCGCTGCGTTCAGGTCGCAGTCCACTTTTGAGGGCGTGGGTTTGAATCTAACTTCTGACAATAAAAATGTATTCAGTAATTTTTTTTAGTTCTCATAATTTAAAAGCAAGGAAACGCTCTCGCACGTGTCAGGATCGCCAAGCGATCTAAGGCGCTGCAATCAGGTCACAGTCCACTTGCGTGTTCGGGGGTCCAAATCCCACGTCGAGCAATTATATTTAGTTATTTTTTTTAGTTCTCATAAAGTAAATTAAAGGAAAAGTTTTCTCATCTTTCAGGCTGGCCAAGTGGTCAAAGGTTCTGCGTTCATGTCGAAGTCCACTCGGTTTTGGGGCGTGGGTTCGAATCCCACTTCTGATAATGTAATTTTATTGAGTCATTATTTTTTTAGTTTTCATAAACTAAATGTAAGGCAAAGATCTTTCATAGGTTAAGATTCCTGAGTGGTCTAAAGCGCTGCGTTCAGTTCGGACTAAAATTCTGCAGGCGTGGTTTCGGATTTCACGTTTGACAATTATATTTCATTCATTCATTTTTTAAGTTGTCATTAATTAAATGAAAGGTAACACTCTCCCACGTGTCAGGATGGCCGAGCGGTCTAAGGCGCTGCGTTCAGGTCGCAGTCCACTTGTGTGGACGTGGGTTCGAATCCCACTACTGACAATGTATTTCTATTCAGTCATTTTTTGAGGTTAAAGAACTAAATGCAAGGGAAAGCTATTTTGCGTGTCAGGATGGACGAGGGGTTTAAGGCGCTGCAATCAGATCGTAATCCAATTGCGTGGGCGTTGGTTCGAATCCCACTTCTGACAATGTATTTCTTTCATTCATTTTTTGAGGTTAAAACACTTTATGCAAGGGAAAGCAATTTTGCGTGTCAGGATGGCCGAGCGGTCAAAGGCGCTGCGTTCATGTCGAAGTCTTTCCGGTTTTGGCGAGGGTTCGAATCCCACTTCTGATCATGTAATTTTATTGAGTCATTAATTTTTTTAGTTTTCATAAACTAAATGTAAGGCAAAGATCTTTCATAGGTTAAGATTCCTGAGTGGTCTAAAGCGCTGCATTCAGTTCGCAGTAAAATTCTGCAGGCGTGGTTTCGGATTTCACGTTTGACAATTATATTTCATTCATTCATTTTTTAAGTTCTCATTAATTAAATGAAAGGTAACACTCTCCCACGTGTCAGGATGGCCGAGCGGTCTAAGGCGCTGAGTTCAGGTCGCAGTCAACTTGTGTGGGCGTGGGTTCGAATCCCACTTCTGACAATGCATTTTTATTCAGTCATTTTAGAGGTTAAAGAACTAAATGCAAGGGAAAGCTATTTTGCGTGTCAGGATGGACGAGCGGTTTAAGGCGCTGCAATCAGGTCGTAGTCCACTTGCGTGGGCGTTGGTTCGAATCCCACTTCTGACAATGTATTTCTTTCAGTTATTTTTTGAGGTTAAAAACTTTATGCAAGGGAGAGCTATTTTGCGTGTCAGGATGGCCGAGCGGTCTAAGGCGCTGCGTTCAGGTCGCAGTCCACTTCTGTGGGCGTGGGTTCAAATCCCACTTCTGACAATAAAAATTCATTCAGTCATTTTTTTTTTAGTTCTCATAATTTAAATGTAAGGAAACGCTTCGCACGTGTCAGGATCGCCGAGCGGTCTAAGGCGCTGCAATCAGGTCCTAGTCCACTTGCGTGGGTTCGAATCCCACTTCTGACAATGTTTTTTTTCAGTCATTTTTTGAGGTTAAAAACTACATGCAAGGGAAAGCGTTTGCGTTCAGGATGGCCGAGCGGTTCAAGGCGCTGCGTTCAGGTCGCAGTCCACTTCTTGGGCGTGGGTTCGAATCCCACTTCTGACAATAAAATTTTATTCACGTACTTTTCTTAGGTTTCAAAACTAAATGTAAGTTAAAACTCTTTCACATGTCAGGATTTCCGATCGGTCTAAGGCGCTGCGTTTAGATCACATTCCACTTCTGTGGGCGTGGGTTCGATTCCCACTTCTGACAATAAAATTTTATTCAGTCTTTTTTTTTTAGTTCTTATAACTTAAATGTAAGGAAACGCTCTCGCACGTGTCAGGCTGGCCGAGCGGTCTAAGGTGCTGCAATCAGGTCGCAGTCCAGTTGCGTGTTCGGGGGTCCAAATCCCACGTCGAGCAATTATATTTAGTTGAGTTATTTTTTTTTTTAGTTCTCATAAAGTAAATTAAAGGAAACGTTTTCTCAAATTTCAGGCTGGCCAAGCGGTCAAAGGTGCTGCGTTCATGTCGAAGTCCACTCGGTTTTGGCGTGGGTTCGAATCCCACTTGATAATGTAATTTTATTCAATCATTATTTTTTTAGTTCTCATAAACTAAATGTAAGGGAAAGATCTTTCACAGGTTAAGATTCCTGAGCGGTTTAAAGCGCTGCGTTTAAGTCGCAGTAAAATTCTGCAGGCGTGGTTTCGGATTTCACGTTTGACAATTATATTTCATTCATTCATTTTTTAAGTTCTCATTAATTAAATGAAAGGTAACACTCTCCCACGTGTCAGGATGGCCGAGCGGTCTAAGGCGCTGCGTTCAGGTCGCAGTCCACTTGTGTGGGCGTGGGTTCGAATCCCACACAATGTATTTCATTCTTATTTTTTGACAAAAAACTTTATGTATTTTGCGTATTCAGTCATTTTTTTGCGTGTTAAAGAACTAAATTTCAAAAACTTTATGCAAGGGAGAGCTTTTTGCGTGTCAGGATGGCCGAGCGGTCGAAGGCGCTGCGTTCAGGTCGCAGTCCACTTCTGTGGGCGTGTTCGAATCCCACTTCTGACAATGTATTTCTTTTCAGTCATTTTTTGAGGTTAAAAACTAAATGTAAGGGAAAGCTATTTTGCGTGTCAGGATGGCAGAGCCGGTCTAAGGCGCTGCGTTCTGGTCGCAGTCCACTTCTGTGGGCGTGGGTTCGAATCCCACTTCTGACAATAAAATTTTATTCAGTCTTTTTTTTTTTTTTTAGTTCTCATAACTTAAATGTAATGAAATGCTCTCGCACATGTCTAGGAAGGCCGAGCAGTTTAAGGCGCTGCAATCAGGTCGCAGTACATTTGCGTGTTCGGGGGTCCAACTCCCACGTCGAGCAATTATATTTAGTTGAGTTATTTTTTTAGTTCTCATAAAGTAAATTAAAGGTAACGTTTTCTCAAATTTCAGAATGGTAAAGCGGTCAAAGGCGCTGCGTTCATGTCGAAGTCTTTCCGGTTTTGGCGAGGGTTCGAATCCCACTTCTGATCATGTAATTTTATTGAGTCATTAATTTTTTAGTTTTCATAAACTAAATGTAAGGCAAAGATCTTTCATAGGTTAAGATTCCTGAGTGGTCTAAAGCGCGCCGTTCAGGTCGCAGTAAAATTCTGCAGGCATTGTTTGGATTTCACGTTTGACAATTATATTTCATTCATTCATTTTTTAAGTTCTCATTAATTAAATGAAAGGTAACACTCTCCCACGTTTCAGGATGGCCGAGTGGTCTAAGGCGCTGCGTTCAGGTCGCAGTCCACTTGTGTGGGTTTGAATCCCACTTCTGACAATGTATTTCTATTGTCATTTTTGAGGTTAAAGAACTAAATGCAATCCCAGGATGGCCGAGCGGTTTAAGGCGCTGCAATAACAATAAAACAATTTTTTTCAGTCATTTTTTGAGGTTAAAAACACATACTATTTTGCGTGTCAGGATGGCCGAGCGGTCTAAGGCGCTGCGTTCAGGTCGCAGTCCAGTGTTCCAAAACTGAAATGTATTTCTATTCAGTCATTTCTTGAGGTTAAAAACTAAATGCAAGGGAAAGCTATATTGCGTGTCAGGATGGCCGATCGGTCTAAGGCGCTGCGTTTAGATCACCTTCCAATTCTGTGGGCGTGGGTTCGAATCCCACTTCTGACAATAGAATTTTATTCAGTCATTTTTTTAGTTCTCATAATTTAATGGAAGGAAACGCTCTCGCACGTGTCAGGATCGCCGAGAGGTCTAAGGCGCTGCAATCAGGTCGCAGTACACTTGCGTGTTCGGGGGTACAACTCCCACGTCGAGCAATTATATTTAGTTGAGTTATTTTTTTTAGTTCTCATAAAGTAAATTAAAGGTAACGTTTTCTCAAATTTCAGAATAGCCAAGCGGTCAAAGGCGCTGCGTTCATGTCGAAGTCCTTCCGGTTTTGGCGAGGGTTCGAATCCCACTTCTGATCATGTAATTTTATTGAGTCATTAATTTTTTTTAGTTTTCATAAACTAAATGTAAGGCAAAGATCTTTCATAGGTTAAGATTCCTGAGTGGTCTAAAGCGCTGCATTCAGTTCGCAGTAAAATTCTGCAGGCGTGGTTTCGGATTTCACGTTTGACAATTATATTTCATTCATTCATTTTTTAAGTTCTCATTAATTAAATGAAAGGTAACACTCTCCCACGTGTCAGGATGGCCGAGCGGTCTAAGGCGCTGAGTTCAGGTTGCAGTCAACTTGTGTGGGCGTGGGTTCGAATCCCACTTCTGACAATGCATTTCTATTCAGTCATTATTAGAGGTTAAAGAACTAAATGCAAGGGAAAGCTATTTTGCGTATCAGGATGGACGAGCGGTTTAAGGCACTGCAATCAGGTCGTAGTCCACTTGCGTGGGCGTTGGTTCGAATCCCACTTCTGACAATGTATTTATTTCAGTTATTTTTTGAGGTTAAAAAACTTTATGCAAGGGAGAGCTATTTTGCGTGTCAGAATGGCCGAGCGGTCTAAGGCGCTGCGTTCAGGTCGCAGTCCACTTCTGTGGGCGTGGGTTCAAATCCCACTTCTGACAATAAAAATTCATTCAGTCATTTTTTTAGTTCTCATAATTTAAATGTAAGGAAACGCTCTCGCACGTGTCAGGATCGCCGAGCGGTCTAAGGCGCTGCAATCAGGTCCTAGTCCACTTGCGTGGGTTCGAATCCCACTTCTGACAATGTTTTTTCAGTCATTTTTTGAGGTTAAAAACTACATGCAAGGGAAAGCTATTTTGCGTGTCAGGATGGCCGAGCGGTCTAAGGCGCTGCGTTCAGGTCGCAGTCCACTTCTGTGGGCGTGGGTTCGAATCCCACATCTGACAATAAAATTTTATTCACGTACTTTTATTAGGTTTCAAAAACTAAATGTAAGTTAAAACTCTTTCACATGTCAGGATTTCCGATCGGTCTAAGGCGCTGCGTTTAGATCACATTCCACTTCTGTGGGCGTGGGTTCGATTCCCACTTCTAACAATAAAATTTTATTCGGTCTTTTTTTTTTTTTTTAGTTCTTATAACTTAAATGTAAGGAAACGCTCTCGCACGTGTCAGGCTGGCCGAGCGGTCTAAGGTGCTGCAATCAGGTCGCAGTCCAGTTGCGTGTTCGGGGGTCCAAATCCCACGTCGAGCAATTATATTTAGTTGAGTTATTATTTTTTTTTAATTCTCATAAAGTAAATTAAAGGAAACGTTTTCTCAAATTTCAGGCTGGCCAAGCGGTCAAAGGTGCTGCGTTCATGTCGAAGTCCACTCGGTTTTGGCGTGGGTTCGAATCCCACTTCTGATAATGTAATTTTATTCAGTCATTATTTTTTTAGTTCTCATAAACTAAATGTAAGGGAAAGATCTTTCACAGGTTAAGATTCCTGAGCGGTTTAAAGCGCTGCGTTTAAGTCGCAGTAAAATTCTGCAGGCGTGGTTTCGGATTTCACGTTTGACAATTATATTTCACTCATTCATTTTTTAAGTTCTCATTAATTAAATGAAAGGTAACATTCTCCCCCGTGTCAGGATGGCCGAGCGGTCTAAGGCGCTGCGTTCAGGTCGCAGTCCACTTGTGTGGGCGTGGGTTCGAATCCCACTTTTGACAATGTATTTCATTCAGTTATTTTTTGAGGTTAAAAAACTTTATGCAAGGGAGAGCTATTTTGCGTGTCAGGATGGCCGAGCGGTCGAAGGCGCTGCGTTCAGGTCGCAGTCCACTTGCGTGGGCGTTGGTTCGAATCCCACTTCTGACAATGTATTTCTTTCAGTTATTTTTTGAGGTTAAAAAACTTTATGCAAGGGAGAGCTATTTTGCGTGTCAGGATGGCCGAGCGGTCTAAGGCGCTGCGTTCAGGTCGCAGTCCACTTCTGTGGGCGTGGGTTCGAATCTACTTCTGACAATGTATTTCTTTCAGTCATTTTTTGAGTTAAAAACGCAAGGGAAAGCTATTTTGCGTGTCAGGATGGCCGAGCCGTCTAAGGCGCTGCGTTCTGGTCGCAGTCCACTTCTGTGGGCGTGGGTTCGAATCCCACTTCTGACAATAGAATTTTATTCAGTCATTTTTTTAGTTCTCATAACTTAAATGTAAGGAAACGCTCTCGCACGTGTCAGGATGGCCGAGCGGTCTAAGGCGCTGCAATCAGGTCGCAGTCCACTTGCGTGTTCGGGGGTCCACAAATCCCACATCCAGCAATTATATTTAGTTGAGTTATTTTTTTTTAGTTCTCATAAAGTAAATTAAAGGAAACGGTTTCTCAAATTTCAGGCTGGCCAAGCAGTCAAAGGTGCTGCGTTCATGTCGAAGTCCACTCGGTTTTGGCGTGGGTTCGAATCCCACTTCTGATAATGTAATTTTATTGAGTCATTATTTTTTTTAGTTTTCATAAACTAAATGTAAGGCAAAGATCTTTCATAGGTTAAGATTCCTGAGTGGTCTAAAGCGCGCCGTTCAGGTCGCAGTAAAATTCTGCAGGCATTGTTTGGATTTCACGTTTGACAATTATATTTCATTCATTCATTTTTTAAGTTCTCATTAATTAAATGAAAGGTAACACTCTCCCACGTTTCGGGATGGCCGAGTGGTCTAAGGCGCTGCGTTCAGGTCGCAGTCCACTTGTGTGGGCGTGGGTTTGAATCCCACTTCTGACAATGTATTTCTATTGTCATTTTTTGAGGTTAAAGAACTAAATGCAAGGTAAAGCTATTTTGCGTGTCAGGATGGCCGAGCGGTTTAAGGCGCTGCAATCAGGTCCTAGTCCACTTGCGTGGGTTCGAATCCCACTTCTGACAATGTTTTTTTCAGTCATTTTTTGAGGTTAAAAACTACATGCAAGGGAAAGCTATTTTGCGTGTCAGGATGGCCGAGCGGTCTAAGGCGCTGCGTTCAGGTCGCAGTCCACTTCTGTGGGCGTGGGTTTGAATCCCACTTCTGAAAATGTATTTCTATTCAGTCATTTCTTGAGGTTAAAGAACTAAATGCAAGGGAAAGCTATATTGCGTGTCAGGAAGGCCAAGCGGTCTACGGCGCTGCGTTCAGGTCGCAGTCCACTTCTGTGGGCGTGTGTTCGAATCCCAACATCTGACAATAAAATTTTATTCACATACTTTTCTTAGGTTCCAAAAACTAAATGTAAGGGAAAACTCTTTCACATGTCAGGTTGGCAGATCGGTCTAAGGCGCTGCGTTTAGATCACATTCCGTTTCTGTGGGCGTGGGTTCGATTCCCACTTCTGACAATAAAATTTTATTCAGTCTTTTTTTTTTAGTTGTCATAACTTAAATGTAAGGAAACGCTCTCGCACGTGTTAGGATGGCCGAGCAGTCTAAGGCGCAGCAGTCAGGTCGCAGTACATTTGCGTGTTCGGGGGTCCAACTCCCACGTGAAGCAATTATATTTAGTTGAGTTATTTTTTTTAGTTCTCATAAAGTAAATTAAAGGTAACGTTTTCTCAAATTTCAGAATGGCCAAGCGGTCAAAGGCGCTGCGTTCATGTCGAAGTCTTTCCGGTTTTGGCGAAGTTTCGAATCCCACTTCTGATCATGTAATTTTATTGAGTCATTAATTTTTTTAGTTTTCATAAACTAAATGTAAGGCAAAGATCTTTCATAGGTTAAGATTCCTGAGTGGTCTAAAGCGCTGCGTTCAGTTCGCAGTAAAATTCTGCAGGCGTGGTTTCGGATTTCACGTTTGACAATTATATTTCATTCATTCATTTTTTAAGTTGTCATTAATTAAATGAAAGGTAACACTCTCCCACGTGTAAGGATGGCCGAGCGGTCTAAGGCGCTGCGTTCAGGTCGCAGTCCACTTGTGTGGGCGTGGGTTCGAATCCCACTTCTGACAATGCATTTCTATTCAGTCATTTTTAGAGGTTAAAGAACTAAATGCAAGGGAAAGCTATTTTGCGTGTCAGGATGGCCGAGCGGTCTAAGGCGCTGCGTTCAGGTCGCAGTCCACTTCTTTGGGCGTGGGTTCGAATCCCACTTCTGACAATAAAATTTTATTCACATACTTTTCTTAGGTTCCAAAAACTAAATGTAAGGGAATGCTCTCGCACGTGTCTGGATGGCCGAGCGGTCTAAGGCGCTGCAATCAGGTCGCAGTACACTTGCGTGTTCGGGGTCCAACTCCCACGTCGAGCAATTATATTTAGTTATTTTTTTAATTGTCATAAAGTAAATTAAAGGAAACCTTTTCTCAATCTTCAGGATGGCCAAGCGGTCAAAGGCGCTGCGTTCATGTCAAAGTCCACTCGGTTTTGGCGTGGGTTCGAATCTCACTTCTGATCATATAATTTTATTGAGTCATTATTTTTTTAGTTTTCATAAACTAAATGTAAGGCAAAGACCTTTCATAGGTTAAGTTTCTTGAGTGGTCTAAAGCGCTGCGTTCAGGTCGCAGTGAAATTCTGCAGGCTTGGTTTTGGATTCCACATTTGACAATTATATTTCATTTATTCATTTTTATAAGTTCTCATTAATTAAGGGGACTTGGCACCTTTCAAAAACCGAAAATATCGATTTTTCAATTTTTAGTTTAAAATGTAGTTTGATACCTTTGGTACAATTGAGGGAAGTTTCGAAATGATCTGATTATTTTAAACGCAGTAAAATGCATTTTAAATATTTTGACAGCTCTGTCAGCAGTTCAAATGCCACGCCCACCTCAATGTTTACATTTTTTTACTTGAGAATAAATCCATTATTTTACATTAAAAACTACAGAGAAGCAGATGAATCCTTTAAGCTGTGACTGTAACTATCAGCAAAGTTGTTTATTTACATTAGCTTTGCCATTTTCGCTTGCTGTGTGATTTTTAGTTTCATTAGTTTTTAACTTCATAGAAACCTAAAACAGCATTTTTTAATGCTACTTCAATCATAATTCATTTTATTAGTTGTTGTTATCGCTAATATGCCTCTTAGAAAACGTTCAGTACGTGCTTTGCAAATGAATGAAAAGCGATGGTGTTAAGCGAAAGTTGATTGTGAAGTTAACCAAAAATTCAGTTTTTTCAAATGTACGCCTGGAAAAATTGAACACTGTGGTAAAAAAGGATACCTCTGCTATTGGAAATTATATATTGGTGGACTTTAACTTGAGTTAACAATCTTCGAAGTGCAAAGTGCCAATATTGTGAAAAACAAACTTTGAAACTGGAGCTTGGAGCCAAGTTGGGATTTTCATACAATTTAAAACTATTGTGTAGCAATTGTGATGAAAACAAAACTGTTGTAAACACATCTCTAAAGTCTGTTCAGACCAGCCATGATGTGAATTTGAGAATAACTCAAGCTTTTTCACATATTGGGAAAGGTTATTCAGCTATAGAAAATTTTGTATGGTGATGAATATAGATCCTTTTTCATCAACTACATATGGGAAGTGTGCGAGACGGCTGGATAATGCATATACTCTGGCATCTGAAAAACATATTTGCGGAAATCCACCGAGAAATTAAAAATGTGTACGAGAATGGAGCTGAAATCACAGACTTAAGTGTTAGTTTTGATGGAACGTGGCTAACTCGTGGTCACACCTCACTTATCGGTGTAGGATGTGTTATAGATATGCTCACCGGATATGTTGTTGACTTTGAAGTGATGAGTAAGGTGTGTCGTCATTGCTCTGTGGCAAAAAATAAGCTAGGCCAGTCAAGTGCTAAATTCAGCATATGGTATGAAGGACATAAAAGCGAATGTGATATAAATCACTTGGGCTCATCTACATCAATGGAAATGGAAGCTGCATTAACCTTGTGGAAAAGATCCACATCACTTGGATTCCGTTATATTACAGTATTATCCGATGGTGATTGTAAAACGTTTAACTACTTGTGCGAGAAAAAAGTGTATGGACCTGACATTGTGATAAAAAAGGAAGAATGTATTAATCATGTTAGTAAGCGGTTAGGAACAGCTTTGAGATCTACTGTAAAAGACTGTCGTGCTCAAGGTATTTCTTTAGGTGGTAAAGCTCATGGTAGTTTGAAAGAAGCCACGATTAAAAATTAACTACTTACTACCAAAAGGCTATTTTGAGAAACAAAGGGGATGTGAATGCTATGAAAACAGCAATATATGCTACATTGTTGCATAGCATTTCTACAGATGCTAAACCTCAACATTCAAAGTGTCCTGCAGGAGAAAACTCATGGTGTTTCTACCAATCTGCGATTGCTAATGGGGAAAAACCTAACAATCATAAATTAAATGTAGGAACACCAATAAATGAAAAGTTTCTTCCAAAAAATTCTACCGATTTATCAAAGACTTGCATCTAATGAATTGTTAGAAAGATGCATTCGATGTGGAACACAAAAATGCAAACGAAAGTTTGCATAGCATGATTTGGGCAAAGTGTCCGAAAGAAATTTTCGTAAACAAAAGACGTGTTAAGCGGGCAGTAACAGAAGCTGTCTGCGAATACAATAAGGGTACAGTACGCACCATTGTAGAAACACAGAAAGCATTAGGTGTAGCTACTGGAGGTTCAACGAAACAACTTGCTACTATCTTAGATTGTCGAAAACAAAAAATTTAGAAAACGTCGTCAAAATGCCAGTAATTAGCTGGCTCTTAAACTTATTAAAAAAGCAATACATAAAAAAAGAGTTATTAGCTAGGAGGAGAGAAGGAATGACTTATGGCGCAGCCCAATTTTAAAACAAACCTGTTTTGAAAAAATAATACATTTTAGCATAAATTTGTTTTACTTTATTTTATTTTAGATATTGATTTAAGTTACAAATT